AGCAATTTTTAAAGGGGATTTTTTTTACTGTAAATAGTGAGAAACAGCAGAGAAGTTTAAATTTCCTTGGAAACATGATTCCTGGGGTGAGGTGGCCTGCGGGCAGAGAGGGAGCATAAGGGACACCAGCCCCCATCTTCCAGCTGGTACTAAGACCAAGTGGGACAGAGACACCCTGAGGGAAGACTGCCTGAGGCCAGGCTTCCCCCAGGGCAATGGAGAAAAGCACTGTGAAATGCTAGCAATTCTCAAAGACAAAACTTGAATGCTAATATTTGTGCCTAACAAAGGTTTCGAGGAATTCCAGCATCCAAAGCTCTGTTTCTCTATATGTCTGGAAAAGAGATACATTTGAAACCTAAGAGTTGCCAGATTCACTTTTATTCCATCAAACTGAGTGCAACGTTCTGAGGCACAGTTTCCTTCTCTGCAAGATTGGGGCATTTGGACTGAGATCTTTGCGATTCTTTTCTGTAGTAAAGTCTTATTCTGTAAATATGGGTTTTGCCATACTGCGTGGGTAGAACGTTTGGCCGATGTTACAACCAAAGTTTAGCACTCTCCCTGTAGCTAATTGAGCTGAAGTCAGTCAGCTTGGAATTAGGAAGTTCATTGGTGTCCAGCCATACTCCTCGAGTGCCTGAGGCTCAGACAGGCAAAATAACATGACTGCAGCTTCTAAAAGAGCAACTGAGGTTGCCTCCATTGCAGAGGAAAGAAAAAGTGTGCCATAGGATAAAATGACCTTGGAGAGGTCAATCTTTCTGAGGTAGAAGGGCGACCTGACTTAGGCCATACTTTTGGACATCCTGTAGAGGGAGCAGAGGAAACTGGCCTCCAGGGGAGGTGCCAGATGTGTGTTAGCCATGGAAGATGGCGCTCTGTGCCCCATGAGACTGGCTAGTGGAAATGTGTTATTGGCAGGGCTGGGGAGGAAAATGTTGCCACCTTAAGGTCATGAACCTTGGGGAAATTACATTTTAAGCATAAAGAAATCATGGGGAAATACAGAGTGGCCGGATTATTATGATTTCTGAACACATAATAATCTGGCCATTCTGTGTGTGTGTGTGTGTGTGTGTGTGTGTGTGTGTGCGCGCGTGTATTAGAGTCCTGGCACATGAATTCATGCATGGGTGGGGTCCGGCCAGCCTGGGCAGGGGGAGGGGACATGGGTGGTTGGCCAATTTGCCTGCTGGTCGAACTCCTGGTCAAGGGGATAATTTGCGTATTAGCCTTTTATTATATAGGATATACACTGAGTGGCCAGGTTATTATGCATTCAGAGATCATAATAACCTGGCCACTCAGTGTATCTAATGTTAGGTAATGTTTGCATCATGAAGGACATCATCTCTCTTCCATTTAATCTTTTCTTCCTTGATCCTTGGCTTTCAGTGTTTGCAATAGAATCAAGTGCAGTTTCTGCTGAGTGCTGCCTGAGCAGAGGTTCTGGTAAGCTCTACATTTCAGTTATCTTTGAATTCAAAGCTCTGCTCCCCCTTGATGCTCTAGTTGTGTGGAGCATTATGGAGGAATTGACCTTTTTAGTTTTGAATGAAGAAACAAAACTTTACCCAGAATCTATTGAATGTCACAGGGAAGGTTCTTTAGCTCAACATCACCCCCTAGCGGGACACAATAGATTAGTTATTAATTCAGATGCAACTTATAAATCTAACTGGAGGCTTTGCAGCAGTTCTGCTCTGTGGCAACTACAAATGGCTATTAAGGACCATTTAACCGTTTACCTTCCATTTGAAAAGTCACTAATCTTCAGTGAGGGTTGAGCAACTTTTATGCTTTATAATCTCCTCATCCTCTTTCATTTTATCCTCTCATTGTTGCCATAGTGAATGGCATTGAAGATGTAGGAAAACAAACAAAAAAACAGAAGCCATATCTACCTAAAAAGATCTCGTGAAAATTGCACACTATTGTGGAACACTAGGCACCAAAAATTAGAAGACAAATCTAAAAGAAATTTAATGGACCAGGAAACACTTCAAAAATCATTTACCCTCCCTGCTATGAGAGAAGTTCCAAGGAAAACAAATAATGTCTTTCATCGATCAGATTAGTAACGATTAAGAGTGCTGACTTTCCATGTCAGGGAAGGTGTGTGAGAAGAGAGCACTTGTGTTGATGGGAGTGTAGCCAGTAGCCCAGATGTGACTGAGGAAGGCAGATTTCCCGACAGGAGTGGCTTATTGGTGAGTCTCAACCTATGAACCAGGAGGTCAAGGGCACATAGCTGGGTTTCAGGCTGGATCCCCAGTGGGGGCTGTGCAGGAGGCAGCCCATCAATGATTCTCTATCATCATTGATGTTTCTATCTCTCTCTCCCTCTCTGAAATCAATAAAAATATATTTTAATAAATAAAAAGACCAAGTGGCTCTAGGTTTAGGCAAAGCTGTAGTGAGCTACTAGGCCCAGGCCAGCCCGAGACAGGGAGGCCGCTAAGTCTCTGGGGACAGCAAAGGGAGGAGAAACCTAGCCTGCTCTCTACTTGCTGTGATGAGATGGGACTGTGGGAGCTGCCCTCTGCCGGCTGCCAGGGTTTCCTGCCTGTGAACCCAGGTGTGGCAAAGGCATCATTGGGACACAAGCCTTCTCCTGCCTGTGACTGCCCTGTGGCACTTCCTGTGGCATATGGCCCTCCTGCCCAGACCAGACCAGTCATGCAGGATCTGCAGTTTCTTCGGCACACTCAATGTTCCTCCACACTCACTGTTCCTGCTCACTTACTGTTCCTGCTGCACTCACTGTTCCTGCACACTCACTGTTCCTGCACACTCACTGTTCCTGCACACTCACTGTTCCTGCTGCAATCACTGTTTCTGCACACTCACTGTTCCTGCACACTCACTGTTCCTGCACACTCACTGTTTCTGCACACTCACTGTTCCTGCACACTCACTGTTCCTGCTCACTCACTGTTCCTGCTCACTCACTGTTTCTGCACACTCACTGTTCCTGCACACTCACTGTTCCTGCACACTCACTGTTCCTGCTGCAATCACTGTTTCTGCACACTCACTGTTCCTGCACACTCACTGTTCCTGCACACTCACTGTTTCTGCACACTCACTGTTCCTGCACACTCACTGTTCCTGCTCACTCACTGTTTCTGCACACTCACTGTTCCTGCACACTGTTCCTGCACACTCACTGTTCCTGCTCACTTACTGTTCCTGCTCACTCACTGTTCCTGCTCACTCACTGTTTCTGCACACTCACTGTTCCTGCACACTCACTGTTCCTGCTCACTCACTGTTTCTGCACACTCACTGTTCCTGCACACTCACTGTTCCTGCACACTCACTGTTCCTGCTGCACTCACTGTTCCTACTGCACTTACTGTTCCTGCACACTCACTGTTCCTGCTCATCACTGTTCCTACTGCACTCACTGTTCCTGCACACTCACTGTTCCTGCACACTCACTGTTCCTGCTGCACTCACTGTTCCTACTGCACTCACTGTTCCTGCACACTCACTGTTCCTGCTGCACTCACTGTTCCTGCTCACTCAGTTCCTGCTGCACTCACTGTTCCTGCTCACTCACTGTTCCTACTGTACTCACTGTTCCTGCACATTCATTATTCCTGCACACTCACTGTTCCTGCACACTCATTATTCCTGCTCACTCACTGTTCCTGCACACTCACTGTTCCTGCTCACTTACTTGCCCAGCTCTCTGGCCTCAGGTTTCCTCCCCACCCGTTCCTCTCCTCCCCCACGCCCCAAACCCATGTTCTTTTTCATGGTTTCCTCTCTGAAAGCTGCTCCGCTGAGGACAGACCCAGTGCTCTGCAACAGGAGTTGACTGGAAGGCCAGGTCCAGTCTCTCAGGACGGAGACATTGAACCCACCAGCTGTGGGAGTGGAGTGATCATGAGCACAGGAAACAAATCATAAGAGCTAGATGGAAAGTGACCACTCACTGAAGGTAAATCACATGACATGGAAATCAAAGAGAATAACCCATGGAGATGCTAAAAAGATATAATCCAACCGTTCAAAGCTAGATAGAAACTTTTTTTTTTTTTTTTTTTTTTTTTTTTTTTTTTTTTTTTTAAAGAAAATGCCTTTGAAAAGCTCTGCCTGCCTTAGGAATGAGCTGACATGCCTACTTGTCTCAGAGACCAAGCTGGACAGTCATGTCTGAGGCTCAGGGCTCCTCCATTCATATCCTATAGAAGCAAACAGACTAACACGAGCCTGAGAGCGAGAGTGTACGCTGCTGTCATGCTGGGAGAAGGGGACATATGAAATACTTTCAACAATAAAGATTTAAAACACACACACACAAAAAGGAACATGAATTTTCACTCTTTACTCACTTCTGCAGTTGAAGTAACCAGATAAATAAAATTCCTTTCCTATTTTAAATGCATGCCTTCATATGCACATCACTACACACTTGCCTATAAAAATGTTTACTTAGTCAAAATGGTTGCCTAATATAATTTCCCCTGCAATGTTGTTAAAAGAAGAATGAATGTCATATGCCTTAAGCAGGAACTCAAACACCCATAAAAGCCACAGCTGAGTATCTGACGTATTTTATTTGTTCACATTGATCTTATTTGAGGTTAACACTACTTCATTTGACAGTTTAAAAATCATTCTGTAAACAAAATGGAAGAGAAAAAAACACAGCGACAGCTAAAATAAGGACACAATGTACAGTAACGTAAAGGAATGCGTTGAAGGGAATGTCCCGAAGAAGCAAAGGAAATGTGACCGTGGTGATGAAGTCCACAATAAGGGAAGAACCTCAAACATCTGGTGTGAGAGTAGTAACAAAACAGAAGCATGACTCCAAAGTGCAGGTGTGCTAGTTTCGTTTCCACATCCATTCAGGAAATAGACAGCGCATACTATGCTTTATATAAAGTGACAAATTCTGCTTTAAGACATTCAGTTACCTTATCTTGCAGGGTTTCCCCCTCCCCCCCTGATAACGTGATCTCTATATTGATTTAATTGGAAAGATGATTGTATGTGATACATGGTATAAATTTCTGGAATCTACGAAATGTATGGAAATGGTGAAGTTTATATATTTATTTATTTTTTTTGCTTTATTTGTAATGAGTAACAAGAAGCTGAAAATCCAGGATCAGAAGCATCAGTACTTTTATTCTATTTCCCCTCCCGTTGCAGAAAAAATCCTGAGCCCTCAGTCATCTTCGTTGCCACTCTGTAACCAAAGGTTGTTCCTTTTCTCTGAATTCTGGCAGCCGACACAAAAAAATAGCTGGTTTCTTAAATGCAAAATTTGTCCGAATTGATCAAATAGAACCGTTAATCTGGCACCATATTTAAAAAAAAAAATCACACTTTCATCACTGTTTAGAACCTCAAATGTTTTCCCCTTGAGGGGAATATCTGCGGAATATAATTTTTGAATAGAGGACTTTTTATGAAATATATTTCAAATCTTAAAAAATAGTTTTAACGCTCCCCAAAGTGGTCTAGGATTTACCCCAGCTGACAATGCCCATTCCATTTAAGAACATTTCCTTTCCCTCACAGCTCATTTTACTTATAAAGCCCAACTACACAAATGACTGCTGCCTGATTTACCATTAAGCAGCACTATTTTTTTTTTTTTAAACCATGTATACAGCTCGACAGCAAGACTAAGAAGTTATAATACACACATATCACGGACAGATTCATCTTTTTTTTTTTTTTGAATTCACTGAATATACTGTATTCTGGTAACCCCCCCCCTTCCCCCACCAAGCAAGAGAGAGTCCTATCCCTACAGCAAGATGTTAAATATTTCTCCAACAGTTTGCATTGTATTATATTAGGAAAACACGAGGTTTCGAGCCAGGTACTAATAAATATTTAATTTAAAAGAAAGAAACCTCAAGAGAGAGGAACATAAAAAAAAAATAAGACCCTTTCCGGGCCCCTCGGTCCCCCGCCCCCTCCCAGGGAAGGCGGGTCAGCCAGACAAGGCCGAGATCTCGTAGTCACTGGCCGAAGGGAGCGCCTTGCCCATCATCCTGATGTTCTTCGCGCTGGTGATCCTGGCCATCATGCACACGGGCTTGTCAAAGTACCGCACCAGGGCGGGCTCCGTGAGGAGGGAGGCCAGGAACTGCTCGAAGGTGATGGCCCAGTCGCGGTCCAGGCAGGTGCTGCCAGGCAGCGCTGCGGTGCCCTGGCCGCTGCGCACCAGCACCGTGTCCTCCCCGATGTCCTCGCAGTGCAGTTTGTCCTCCTCATGGGAGCCGGCGCTCAGCACCGAGTACGAGGACATGGAGCTGTCGTCCTTGGTGTCGTCGTCGGAGATGAGCATGGCGGAGGAGGCCCCGTTGTCCCGGGGCGAGGAGTCCTCCAGCTTGATGTCCTCCATCTGCCCTCCCAGGGAGTGCTCCTCGCTGTCGCCCGCCAGGCTGGCCGGGTGGGCCTCCGGGGGCTCCATCCCGTAAGGCTGGCCGGGGGGCCCTTTCCTGGAGAAGGGCACACCCAGGATGCCCTGGGCGCTGGCCCCACTGCCCGCCTCCTTGGCCGCCGGCTGGGCGATGAAGAGCTTGCCCACCTCCCCGATCTCCAGCAGGAGGCTGGTCACGGCCGCCGTGGCATGGTACAGCTCCTGCTCGTTGGGGTCCTCGCTGAACATGTTGTACATCGTCTTGCACAGCTCGATGAACTGCCCCTGCGAGGGATGTGGGGAAGCACAGAGAATGTCAGCATCTGCTGGGGAGCAAGGACAGGGCAGAAGTGGCCTGCAAAGCCATTTGGCATTAGGACTCCTGAAAGATCCCCAAAAGTCCTGTGCAGGGGGGTTGGTGTGCTCTCTAGCTCTTAAGGTGGGTACCATTTTTTAATTTTTTTTTAATTTCTTTATTGAATAAGGAGGGCACCCTTTTTTACAATTTGGAAAACTTGCAACATCAGTGACAGGGGGAAGAATGAAATGAACCTTCATTTACCCGTCCCCTAGAATTCAGACTGACTTTTATACAATTGCTTCCTTAATGTTTTCATCCTCTGTTGAAGTATGGTAGGGAAATCCCAGCTCTCATCTCATCTAACACCTACACCCTTGGGTAGGCATGTCGGTTTTCCCAAGGTTAGCTCAGGTCCCCTCTCCCCCTACACCTCTGCTGGGGCCCCGGACAGAGAAATGCCTTCCCGCCCCACCCAGATGGCTTATCTGTTTTCCCTTAGGAAAGTCAGCCCATCCATGCTATGTTCTAATGACCTATGTGGTCTCAGCTCCCTCATTACACATCAGCTTTTGAAGAAAAAAATGTCAGAAGTCTTCATCGCTGAGCAGAGAACTGAAAACAGCTCAGCCTGGTCCTTTGAGTATCTGGGGTATTTCTAATGACTGGAATGAGGTGTGGACTCTCAAAATTGGATATTTCATGATTCACATTTTCTCTGAGAGGTCATTTTCTCACAAGTGAGCATATTTTTGATGCACAGAATAGGTGTAAACAGAGACTACCTAAGTGCCCAAGCTGCCATTGCCTTTGAGGGGTATTTATTCTATATTTACCTATGATCAGCAAACAGAGTTGTCAGGTTTAATATGAATGGACTGAACTGTTGGGAGCTTACCTGATTCAATTTGGGTAAGTCCTTTGCATTCTTTGATTTTGACTTATTTTCTGTAGTCCAGAGCCTCAGATAAATACGGTTTTCTTGAGAATTTGCCCTCTTCCCTAAAACCCAAATATCGAGAAATAAGTGTTCAAACACCAAGAAACAGTGCCCAACCGCAGCAAGGTAAACGTATGGAAGAAAGTCTGTACCTCTGTCTGGCTTCAGACTCACAGTAACGAAGCCATCATCTGCGCTGTGCTTGCTTCTGCTATCCAAGCCAACCACTGCCAAGGAATAATCAGAAGAAAGAGTAGACTGTTATGTAATAAACCCATACATTAAGCATTGGTAGTAGAAAACAGAGGAACCACTAGGTAGGGTTGCCTGGCTTAGCAAAACAAAACAAAACCCCAGCACACCAAGTTAAATTTGAATTTAAGATCAACAACAAATCATTTTTCAGTAAAGTGTGTCCCAAATAGCGCCCGGGACACATGTGCTAAACAAACTGCTGACTGCTTATTTGAAATAAAATTTTTACGGGCTGTCCCATAATTTATCCAACAATCCTATTTCTAGGCAAAGAAATACCCCCTCAGGATTGTTTATCACAACTGGGGTTTAATGTACAACCAGGAAAAAAAGGGATGACATCACGTCGTCTTCAGTACAGAAAGAAGGGTGGCGCTTGCCCCTCGAATCTGGCTTTCCCTTCTCCTATTACACTGCCATCCTCAACTTCACCTACAAAGGACGGATTTTCTGTCAGGCCCCTCAAAAGACCAAAAACTCACTTTCTAAAAAGAAACGAAAACCCATGTTGATAGAACAAATGTTATATGTTCCAAAATTCCTTCCTATATATAATTTGGCATTTTGAAACAATGACTTTCGGGGAAACCACATTTAACGTTTTTTTTTTTCCTTCTTAGAGCAGGATGTTACAAAGCACACGAGCATTTTGAAAGAGAGAGGTGGCCAGCACCAGCTTCCCCTGTGTCAGCGGTGGGAGAGCCTGCAGCGCTTCTTCAGCCATCCACAAGGTGCCTGTCTGCCCGACATATGACCTTGACTGCATTTAGTGTCCATGCAATCCCAGTTGATTTGAAGGCAGAGTGAGGACAACGTACTATATGTCACGGAGAAAGTCCTCTCTGGGGGGATAAGGACACATATGTAATACCTTAATCAAAAAGAAATTTTTTTAAAAAGGAAGTCCTCTCCCTTCCAGTTGAAATGATTTATCAAACAAGTATTGATATTCAAAACTACTGTATGATAAGCCCATGCAATGGATAGTATACAACCATTTAAAACCACATTTTTAGAGAATGTTTAATAATGTGGCAAAATGCTTACTGGATTTGAAGTGGAAAAAAACAAAACAGGATATAAAACTGCATAGGCAGTTTGACCCCAAATTAGAGTTAATTGACTATCTATGAATAAGGATGGAAAAGAAATGTTTTAAGATATTATCCGTTACCTTTGTATTACACGATTTAAAGATATCTTTAGCTTATTTTATATGTTATATAAATTTCAATTTTCAACACAAAACAATAGTATCTTTGGAGTTGGATGCCTGCGGTCACCTAGGTAATAGAATACAGATCTGTCCAAAGCGCTGACTCTCAGTTCCTAGTGCCAATAATAGTGAGCCTGGGTCTGGCTCACTCCTCTGCTCAATGACTTAGGGCTCAGATAAAAGTGGGTCTAAGCTGTGCTTGTTCTGGGAGGGCAAGATTTAACAGGCAAAAAGACTTAGGAGCAACCCACGTTTACTGTCAGACTTGGGCAAGCCATGAAGCTGCCCTCAAGATGAATTAGAAGACAGATAACCCACTGCCGTGGCAAACTGAGAGAAGCTGCTTAATCCTGCAAGACAAAGCAGTATGTGACTTAATAAGTTGGGGATATACACAATGAGATGGGTCATGTCTCTGTAGACCTAATAAACACACAGGCAGCACTCAAGGGCCAGACAGTAAATGCCGGATGAGGTAGTTGTTCGTGTGAAAAATAGTACAATAAATAACAAAAATAACACAAAGATAAACTCCGTGTTTTGCGTACTCAGAAGTATAATTCTACTTTTGCCCACCCTCTCTATCTGAGGCCCTGCAGGAGGGGTGTCTCTGCCCCAGCTCCCAAGTCCACCCCTGTAGAATGAAAGCAGCCATGGACAACATACAAATGAATAACAGCTTGGCAGTATGCTGGAAACTAATCATTGTCTCACTAATAGAAAGAGGCTGGTCAACCTTGAAGTTCTGAAGGTCAGAGCCAACCACACCCTATCTAATTGAGACAATGGTAACTGAGGCAACTTCCCCATCTTGTAATCATGTAAATCTTTACTGATATGATAATCCACTTATTACCTGCCTAAGGGCTATGGGTGTTTCCCAAAGCTGCTTTAGGGTAATGGGTGTATCCCATAGCCGCCTCAATAAAAGGGATAGCAAGGCCAGAGCCTAGAGAGTCTTCCCACTAGAGGTTGACTCTCGCCTGGCCCCCCATTTGTCTCAAATTAACTCTTTTCTAGTCTCTCTCTTCATTTTAGTGTGTGGCCTCCTCCAAAAACCGGACCCTGAGTGGGCCCTAATCACGTGGGTCGTGTTAAGGGTTCCCACAGCAGTGTTCCAATAAAACTTTACTAATGGGCACTAAAGTTTAAATTTGATATAACTTGCCCATGTCATGAAAGATTACTTATGATTTAAAAAAACAAAAACAAAAAACAAACATTTAAAAATGTCAGAATCATTCTGAGTGAGATTTGGACCCACGGCTTGGAGTTTGCAGACACCTGTCACAGAGCAAAGGCGGATTTGATACAAATGCTTGTCCGGATTGGGGAAAGCAGCACAGTAACAGCATGGCATTCCTGCTGAGCCTGACCAGCAGAGAGAGGGGAGCAGTGTGCACAGCTCGGCGGACGTGTCTTCTCTAAGCTAGTGGACACGAGGCCATGGTCCCTTCAGCCGGCTGAAGTACCTGCCCCCGATAGTTGCCCAAATTCAAAAATTTTAAAAGAAAGTAACATGTCATAGAAAGACAAATACCACATGATTTCCCTCCTATGTGGAATCGTAAGAAAAAGAACAAACAGAAGCAGACTCATAGACACAGAGAACAGACTGATGGTTGCCAGCTGTGAGGTAGGGTGGGAGGACTGGGTGAGAAGGTGAAGGACTGAGAAGTAGGTTGGCAGTTACAGAATGGTCACGTGGTGTGAAGTACAGCATGAGGAAGATGGTCAATGATACTGTAAGAGCTCTTTATGGTACTGGAAATATCAGGGGGAACACTCTGTAAAGTATATGATTGTCTAACCGCTATGTACACCAGGAACTAATACAAAGTAGTATTTAATATAAACTGTAATTAAAAAGTAATGTATCAAGCAAGCATATCCATATACTTCTATGACTGACTAGCTTTGGAGATAACTTTTCCCAGTGGCAGAGGGCTCTGTGGAAGGGAAATATATCGATAGTACCCTGGTGAAAAAAGCCACTTACCATGTGTGCATTCTGGGGTGATATCTTCAAAGAAATACTGAGTTGCTTCAAAAGCAGAATCTGGCTCTTGTTGATCAGAGGACGGCTCTGGAGAGGGCAGGAAAAGTCATTCTCACATGGGTAGGGCCATGCGGCGGACCCTGTGCTGTGCTCATTAAAGAGGTGACCCAGGAAGGAGGAGGCGCTGAAGGAACACAGGTGGGGGAGGGCCACAATCTAAAGTTTTACCCTGTCTCTATCCTAATGCCAACTCTAATTATTTTGTTAGCTAGATCCCAGCTGGAGGCCAACCTTGTTTAAAACTTACATTCTCATCCATCTTTCCTACTTGTTTCTGTCAGGACTAGAACTACTACCTTGGACTCAACATCTCAGAGTGTCTGGAATTCCACATGGTGCTAAATGCTAATTATTCTTTCTCTTGCAGAGTACTCTGCTGTCAACACAGCTCCTACTCTTACAGGTAAATGACCAGACTCAAGGAGCTGACTCAGGAAGTTAGGTAGAGTGTCATTATTCAGTTCATTCTTAGTGACTAGTGAGTGATTTTGTATATCGAAGAGGCAAACAGGTCATGGTTACATGCATGTGCTGCTGTGTATGGCTCACTTACCAGGCAAGACATGCATTTTGTACAGGAGTTTGAGTTTCTCTGTGAGGTCCCCATGGCAGGCAGCACCTAGAATTCCAAAAACACAAACATGAAATGCACCGTGTGTTAGAAACTCCTCCAGGCTTAGCATTCCCCAAAAAGGTCTACTTTAAAAAAAAAACACATATTTTATTGATTTTTTACACAGAGGGAGAGGGATAGAAAGAGAGAAACATCGATCAGCTGCCTCCTGCACACCCCCTACTGGGAATGTGCCCGAAACCAAGGTACATGCCTTTGACCGGAATCGAACCTGGGACCTTTCAGTCCGCAGGCAGACACTCTATCCACTGAACCAAACTGGTTAGGGTGAGAAGTCTACCTTTTACAAGTTGAAACCAAGACAGAAGGGCTGGCCAGGGCATGTTTGGGTTAAGAGTTCTGGAACCGGGATCCCTGGTTTCAAATCCTCTGTACTTAGTCTGTGACCTTGGGAGAGTCAGTTAGGAAACAATCACAGAGGTTCATACCAAGCCCACGGTACTAGAGAATTCTCAGCTGAAACTGCCACATTACACATTGCACTTTGGAGCCAGGGTTCAGATAGTCACGCAATCACCGACTTCAGATGCTTCCACCTTCTCCATTTATATGGCATCTGGGATATGTTTACAGACTCTTACCTTTTGGCAACACAACTGGAGAAGGAGATACAGCTAATTCATGGCTGCTGAGAGCAATCCCTTATTTCTAATTCCATTATAGACCACTTATTTGTTCAGATTTCTAGAAGAATCTTTCTGGGGATTGATATTAAAGTTACAGATCCATCTTCACCAAAATTCATGTTTTGATTTTTAAAAACTTGAACAGAATTTCGCTTTTATGGCCCACTTGTCTGTCTCCATCACTACCTGACCCATTGCCCAACAGCAGCTCAGAACTCTCCCTGTCATCTGGGCGGCGGCTTGCTCTGCTCAAGAACTCCCTGCATTTTAAGAAGTGTGTGTATTCTTTTTCCATGTATTCTCACTTTTGGACTCTCCTTTCTTGAAGATTTTGGTAAGTATTTTTCTTATTGGAGTTGACTACACTAAGTAAATTAAATATTTGTATTTATTTCTATCATGTTCTAGATGCAGAACCTCTCTTTTTCCTCTTCCTTGTTCTTGTTCAAAGATAATTTTAAAAAGAAAAACCCTTTTTCATAGACACCAATATAAAATTAAGTTAGGGTAGGATCAAAGGAATCCTTAGCCTTTTCTGGATTGTCTCATTTAAAAAAATATATATATTTTATTGATTTTTTACAAAGAGGAAGAGAGAGGATAGAGAGCCAGAAACACGGATGAGAAAGAAACATCCATCAGCTGCCTCCTGCACACCCCCTACTGGGGATATGCCCACAATCAAGGTACATACCCTTGACCGGAATTGAACCTGGGACCCTCCAGTCCGCAGGCCAACGCTCTATCCACTGAGCCAAACCAGTTAGGGCTGTCTCACGTTTTTTTAAAAAAGCTGAATGCACTTAGGCATTCTATGTGTACTTTAAAATTAATATCTCCTTCTTCCCTCAAAACAAAACATTGTGTTTGCTGTCTTTGGCATGGAGTAATTAGGAAAAAATGAGCTTTTGCGACAGCAGTCATACAAACTCTGGGCCCAGCGTGTGCTAACTGTGCGTCCAGTTCAGTTCAATAACAGATAAATGTCCCAGCAAGTTACTTAACTTTTCTGAGCTTCCATTTCCTTAACTGAAAATGAGAAATCTAATAATAAGCACGCTGGTAGTAATAGTAACAGCACACACTGTGCCTCCAGGAGACCTGGGTTTGAACTACAGCTTAGCCCTGTCCTTTAGGCACATGAAATGCACAGGAAGCACGAGGGCAAGGCCTGGCTCAGAGTCAAAGCTGTGTAAACGTTCGACATCGTTACAGCTGTTTCCTCAAAGAGCTGCTGTCTGGATGCAGTGATTAAGGACAAAGCCCACAGCATCAGAACAGTGCCTGCCCTTCACCACGGCTAGTTTCTCCATGTCCCCATATTGATAAGCACTTTACACAAGTAATTTTTTCTTACCTAAGAGGACCTCACCTACACCTCTTTGCCTGTTTAGAGACCATCAGCTTTCTCGGGCCTTTCAGCCTTCCAGTCACTATTCTGAAAGGTTCAGGGCACTTTTGGAACCATCAGTGGCTCCGTGCCTGCCACCTTCATCCTTCTCGGGCATGTCCTTTTAAAGTATGTGTCCCAAGGTCACCGAGTGGCACAATTAGAAAAAAACAAACATCTTTCCTTCTTATCTCATTCTGGCAGCCTGACAATGCCTGCTACACCCACAACTCATATCCGTCGGCCAAGCTCAACTACGAGGTGGCCTTTCCCCTCAATGCCAAGTGAAGGAGAGTCCACTAGGATAGAGGGCAGTGAGCAGGTCAGACAGCGAGGCTGCCAGGCTGCTGGTGAGGGGTGGGGGTGCGTTCTTTTGAGCCATGGTCCTTCCTCCCTGCTAACGAGAGAAAAGGTTGCCCTGCAGACTGCGAAGCTGTGTGGTTTTCTCAGGCCTTTATTAAAAACATCATTAGCCCTAACTGATTTGGCTCAGTAGATAGAGCGTAAGCCTGCAGACTGAAGGGTCCCAGGTTTGATTCCAGTCAATGGCACATGCCTGCGTTTAGTCCCCATTAGGGAACCTCCAGGAGGCAGTCAATCAATGATTCTCTCTCATCATTGATGTTTCTATCTCTCTCTCCTTCTCCCTTCCTCTCTGAAGTCAATAAAGATATATAAATATGTATAAAAAAAAATAAAAAAACATCATTAAATGCTTATATGAAATTTAATGAAACATCTACACTAATGAAAGAGTAACATGCTAATTTACTGTACTTTTATGATGCTCACCAGCCAATCAGGAGTGATTATGCAAAGTAACCCAACAAAGATGGCAGGTTATTTTGCATATGCAGGCACAGGAGTGGCCTGGGATGGGGAAGGACGCAGGCATTCCACACTTCCCCAGCCCAGTCTCTCTGGGTCTCCGGGCAGCATGGGAAGGTGGAAAGGTGGCTCTGGCCAGAGTGAAGGCAGTGCCGGCAGCCAGGGGAAGGAAGGCCCATTCTTGCATGAATTTTTCTGCATTGGACTTCTAGTTTTATACATAATAAAAATATAATTTTCTTGGTCAAAGAAAAGCAATCTGCCCAAACATTTATTTTTCTCCTTATCATGGTCTGTGGTTTCAGTGTTTAAGTTGGCATTTTATTGTCTTGCCAATTCTCTGATATATATATATATATATATATTTTAACTAACAGTGGAGTCTATCTAATGTCAAATACAATGATTTAATAATAGTATATTCATGAGCTCAAAATGAGTTTTACAATCAGTTTGCAAGCCCTAAAATGTGCCGCTCCGCTCTCTAACCCCAATCTTCTGAGGCAGTGTGGGCTGTGGCCCTGGGGCCAGCCAGCACTGCGCACCACAGGTGTTACCACCCATCATGCCCTCCCAGGTCATGCAGCCACATCACATCCTTACTTAGCCCAGAGACGAACTCTCGGAAGTTAATCAGAGAGTCTCCGTTTTCGTCTAGTAACTGGAACAGGCGGGAGGCCAGCACGTCGGAGTGAGCTCCACAGGCCCAGGGAAAGAGGAGAGCAAACATCCCCTTGAACTGCTCGAAGTCAATGCGGTACTGTTCCAGGTAAGGCAGGCTGGGGTCGTGCCGGTCCAGCGCGTTGCTGCTCCCGCCCCAGTAGCAGCTGGTGAGATGTTCTGCCTGAAAACACAAAGGACAGGACGGTTCGGAGGACTGCATCTCCGAGCAGGTTCCAGGAAGAAAAGGCCGGCCCTCACGTTTGGAAACGGGGTACTGGCCAATCCGAGTGCACCTCCCAGGGCATTGCTCTGGTCTCGGGGCACCTCTGTCTTCTTCTGTTCTATCTCCACCTGAACCTCCTGCAACTGCCTCAGCTCCATGGCAACCATCTCTGCAGTTAACATCGGCCTGAAAGATCTGGTTCAGTTACTGGAGTAGGTGAAGAAAGAAAGGAAACCCCCATCCCCATCCCCATCTTCTTCCTCTTATACACACCCTCAAGCATTTTAAGAAATAACTCCCTTGAAGATGAACACTATTTTTATTTAAAAGAAACAAAGAGAATGTTAACCTGAAAAGCATCCGTCATTTAGGCCACGTGACCACTTTGCTTTCTGGGCTCAAGTGCCCACACAGATCATCCAACCCGTTAGCCAAAGCCGCCCACAATGACATTTTGTGCCCCAGTTCATAATTTACTGTCCCATAAACCCTCTGCTTCCTGGCCACCAAAATCACACAATATCATCCTAGCCACGCAGCATTCAAGCTGCGAAAGGGTGGCCCTCCCCTCTCACTCATCTGAAATAGCTGAGAGCAGGTATGGGAGGAGCCACTGTGGGGAGGAGAGGAGAGAGCTTCCTGTTTCCGTCCTTGGAAGAGAGGCAGCCTGAGGTCATATTGATTGTGGAAGAAATAGATGCCTGTTCTAGGAAGACCATAAAGATAAAACATATAGACAGGACCAGAAGAACCGAAGAATCTGCCTTCCTCACTCACACACACACACACACACACACACACACACACACACACACGTGTTAGTGCTGGGTGGTAGGTGGGGGAGGAATGGCCATGAAAACAGGGCTGCATTTTTAATTCCCTGTTTTACTATTTCACTATAAACATGTATAAATATTACCACAGAACAAAGCACTTTCAGAACAGTTCCTTCCCCCTCGCCCAGAGGTTCTGAAAAGGTGGGGAGGAAGTCTATTGTGAGTGTGTAGCAATTCCATTTTGCTCTCACAAAGGAGTAAAGAAGAGCAATGTCTTTATCACAGTAGTGTACTGGGAATCTAGAAAAGAGGGGAGTAGGAGGAGGGATGAGAAGAGGAAGAAGAGGTGGAGAAAAGAGGCAAAACCAGCTTTCCTGCAATGTAGTCCTGGGAGAATACTAAAAGGCTGTGGTACTTCACTGGGGTGTGGGGACATACTCCTGGCTACAGGCAGAGGCAGGGGTGATATCAGAGGGAAGGAGGTGAAGGCTGAATCTCAGGGGCTGCCCTGTACCCTGATCTATCACCAGTGATGCCCATCTCTGGGTGGCACATGTTGATGACACATCCCTGGGAGGCTCCCCTTTACCTGAATGATGTCCATGGATAAAGGTTACCCAGGGCATCCTATATAATAAAAGGCTAATTTGAAAATTGTCCCCTCCCACCAGGAGTTCGACCAGGGGGTGGGGTCAGGTGATCAACCTCCCACATCCCCTCCTCCTGGCAGGCCCTGCCCCTGATAGGCCCCAACAAGGGCAGGCCAGCTGGACCCTACCCGTGCACGAATTCACGCACCGGGCCTCTGGTTTCCTCCTAACTAAGGCACACAAGGGACTTTGGAACCAGCCTGAATGTGGTAGAGACACTTCCATGGTGCTCATAACCCTCAGGAAAGACAAGCCATGAAGATCATCATCGCCCTGCTCTGGGCTGAGATCCCACAGCCCATCATCTGGGGACAGGGCGCAGAGATTGAAAAGAACCAAAGTAATGAATTTGGAAAATGTTCAAATGAAACTAGGGCAAAGGGGTCTGGACCACATTTTCAACCAAATCTGTGTCAGGGTGGCAGCCTTTCACCTTTTCCAGCAAGTTTTAGCCCAAATCTCAACAGTACATGCCTTGGAGAGGATGGCATCTTACCTTTACCTAAAGCTATAGAGACCCTCCCTTCCCCTGCTACCCAGAAGAGCTGAGGGTCTGGTAGGATGGGTGTCTGACACACAGTCATGTCTCCATAAGTGTTTAATAAATTAATGCCAGTTAGTGTTCAAAGATCATTATATTTTTTTTTTCGTTTTGCTTCAACTTAGATCATTATCTTTTTCCTTTAAGATCAAAGAGGGACCCTTTTCTTATGGATAACCACTTACACCAAGTGATTAGCTGCAGGGCTTTAGCGATATAGGTCAATGGCACACTATGGAGACTTCACTCTCAAGTGCTGAATGGAGGCTGATGGGGGCGCCACTGTCCACTCTGTGGGTCATAGGACTGGATGGACAGAGCACACCACTAACCAACTATGAAGCCTCAATCTCTCTGTGCCCACGTCCAAAGCATATAGAGTGTATATCAGATTGATAACTAATCACCATTTACTTCTGTACTCAACATACATGTTTGAAGCACCTACAGGGATCAGACATCAGTGAAACTAAAATAAGTAGAACATCCCAATACAGCTATCACATTCTGATTCTAAATGATTCGTACTCAACTCAGACCGTTATGTCTATGCCTTTATGGTTTGTTCTCATACTACATACTTTTGGGCCGGGAATCAAACCTGCAACCCCAAGGTACATGCTGTTGACTGGGAATTGAACCTGCAACCTCTTGGTGGGCTGACATTCCAACCACTGAATCACACTGGCCAGGGCTGTTCCTGTACTAACTCTACAGTCCTCAATACAGCCAAGTGTATTTCTGGCAGTAAAAGACACTGTATACAAGCTACCCAGTGAGAGAGCGTGATAAAGTTGGTACCTGCATAAAAGGTATCTCTTAATTTTTCCCCCCTGTCAATTGCACATTTTCACCTAAGATGTTGATAATGATAGCTATGACTAAATTATTTTTTTTTTCTGAAGAAAAAAAATCTGCATTACTTTTACTTCAATAACATTATATTTTCTGGTCTGGAATTATGAAATGGAAATCACAAAAATGTAGGTTCAAATGGAAAAAGACATGCAGGTTATGATCAGAATAATATAAGAATAAACTATTTTGTGTACAGCTGTAAACCTACTTTTGTGCACCCCTAAAAGTAGTAAGTCCAAGGAAATTGATAAAATATTATATTTTATATGTGTTAGCTATCAACTTAAATGCATTAGAAGAATATGTTTATTTTTTATATTAGTATTCCATTTTTATGTGCATAAATAGGAAGCTTTATCTTCCTATTTATGCACACTATAACTCAGGCTTTCCCTTAAAAAATGTAACGGAAAAATGTAGAACTTAATTATTAAAGTGAATTTTTTTATCCCCTGAATGCACACAAATTTACTTGGAAGCTCACCTTGAAAAGAGCATAAAGTTCTTCTAGTTCATCGATGGTAAAGGATGTTTCGGTCACAATGGTTCGCACCTACAAAAAGAACAAATACAACCAGTTTCATAAACGCCAACATGTCACGTTGGGCAAGCTTCTGTCTTCTAAGCCATGGCCAGTGTGTCAGCCGGGATTTCTGAGCTGGCAGGAGTGCGAGGAAGAGGCCACAGACTGGTTCCACAAGGACTCACCACATTCCGTTTGGTGGTGTCCTCCAGCGTCTGGATCACTTTCAGTCTCTGTTTGAATCTCATCTGCTCAATCAAGTCTGCCCGGATCGTTCCAAATTTCTGGAAGAGAGCCAGATTGGCACCTCTGAGAAACCTGCTGAAGCACCCAGTGTGGTGTCTGCAGGATTGATGGGACACAATCCTGACACACATGAACCATCTGGAACATTAGGAAGCTCTGTTTTTTGTTGTTTTTTCCAACGTCATATAAATGAAATTGTACAGAATGTTCTCTTTTGGTTCTGGTTTATTTCACTCAGTATCATGACTGCGAGATTTATCCAAATTGTTTATTTTCATTGCTGCGGAGTAATTCACTATGTCCTGGGCCCTCCAGAAAGGTCACCTCGGTGTCTGAGTCCACTGAGGCTGGGACTTCATCTTTTCCTTCTGGGTAACTCTCCAGAGCTGCAGAACATCACCCACAGGCCCACCCAAAGGAAAACTGTTTGTCCAACTGTCACTACAATCCCTCCCAGTGGGGGCTGGGGAGGGTACACAATGAGAGAGATTCTTCCTCTCGAGGCATTTATGAATAAAGCTCTCATCTCTCCTCACTAGAAATTGATGAGAAATTAGATCAACATATCGGAGCAACCTCCTGACAAGCTGGGGGAGAGGAGGAGAAGAGAAGGGCAGTGCTTGACTAGGTCTCAGAGCTGAATGTGCTCCAATATCTCCCCTACTTTTCTATTCTCCAGGCTGATTATCCCGAAGCACAGAAATAAATGTGTGGCGAGACTCTGGTGTCATGCGTCCATCCAAACCAGGTTATCATCGGCTCTGTGATGAGCGGCCCCATTCTGCAACTAGGGCAGTGACTCTCAGCCCTCCCTGGGCACTGGAATCAGCTGGGGAAACTTATTTTAAAAAATGCTTATTGTTGGCCTTATGCCAGAGATTCAGATGGAATTGGTCTGCAATGGATCCTATGAATTTATGTATTTTTAAAAATTAGCTTAAAATTTTTTTATGTGATTTGAAAGGATTGAAAGCCACCAAATCAAAGGTTAAGTAGGGGGAAAAAAAGATAAACCATGAGGAGTTACGGGCACTGAGTCCTAGGAGCTTCATAAACCACCAGATGCTATGAGACACATGACACTAGTTCCTTCACCCTGAGCAGCTCCTTTGTGATTCAAGACCAGGTTGAGGAGTCACGGTGGGCCAGAAGGCAGCTTCCCAACTAGGCCCAGCAATCCTAGAGGCTTCACAGGGGTGGTTCTTCTCTAGATGGTGCAGGGTATTCTATGTGGCCTGGACTGAAGAGGACTGGCTTAGCTACTTCAGAGAAGACCTAGTACTTGGCATGAGAATAGGCGGTGAACTGGTGTGTGCAGGTCAACCTCCCCAGGCCTGCTCTCAACTGCTCCATCTCGGTCCACCCAGAGTTGATCTGAGCTGCCACTCAACCAGGTTTTAGGGTGGGCATAAGAACTGGAGGGTGAGAACCTGTCATGCCATCTGCTCCCTGGTATTACAGCCAGGAGAAGTCATGGACCCCATTCAGTGTCCATCTCTACGGCTCAAAGCTGTTAGCTGGAAGGTAGCTATTTGCTCCAGTAACTAGTTCTCAGCAGGTCAAAGGGAGCAGGTACACCCAGGGGTCAGCAATGGAAGTGACACTGAGCCAGGAAGCAAGTCTCACCTCGTAGGAAGTTCGGATGAGTCTGAAGATGTCCACCTCGGGGTAAGGCTCCACATCATCACTAAGCAGGGAGTGGAGGTGAGGAATGGGAGGCAGGGTGCTGTCTTTATTGGTCACACTGTCCAAGTACCTGGAAGAAGAGTCAGGAGGCTAAGTCACCAGGAGGCTAAGCTGGGATTCTCCCATTTCAGTTCACACATTTTCTGCAAACTCTGCACTTGGAAACAAAAGACTGTAATTTCCTTAATTAAGCAAAATTCCCCTAACTTCTAAAAACCAAGCATATGAAAATGAATAATCAGCTGACCAAGGGAAGTGGGCATGATGATTCCCACCCAGCCAGTTAAGACTCAGGAAACCCAGGAGGAAACAAAAGCACAGGGAAGATCCAGACATGGTGTTGCTGGAGCCTTAGTACGCTACCTTCCCAGAACGGTCATGGCCTCCCCGTCGTCCTTACAGTTCAACAGTTTGTCCACATTGGCATCCAGCACAGCCAGGGCCAGCTGGAATATCACCTTGATTCCTTCGTAGAAGAAACAGTCTACCACCACCACCGCGCTCTCAAAGGGCATCACACTGAGGAACAGGGTGAGGAACCAGGACAGGGAGATGGTGGAGATCACGCCCAGGTCCTGCATGCAGTCGTAGAGCTGGGGGACGTAGTCTCGCGCCAGCTCCTCGAAGACGCCCTGGTCCACCAGCGCACCTGCAGCGGAGGACACGCGGGCCCCTTCTCACTGATGCACCCAAGCAAACGGCTCGCAACTGGTGCTGAGACAGACCCTGTCTAACCGTCTACAATCTATATCGGAGTAAGCCCTCTGGTTCCCATTGTGGCAAATTGGGGTAGCCTGAAACTTTCTTGCCTAATGGGTGGCTGGGAATTGTGTTCTGGCCGGTATCAGGGCTGTCGGAACACACACATGAAATGTTCCTGATGAGATGCGGAGGAAAACGTAAGTCTGTCCCCACCTACCAACAACTCTGGTGTTGTAGTAGTCGGGAAGCATGCGCTCACACAGAGCCACCAGGAGCCAGAAAGCCTCCTCTTCTTTGGCATAAAGCAGCAGCACCGAGGTGACGATGTTCATGGCCTACAAGCATGGAAAGATGTCATCCAACACATTTTAGCAAGTAAGCAATTTATTAACCCAAACAACGACTGAATTAGTCTTACAGGGGCCAGCAAACTTCTGTAAAAAAAAAAGATGAAATATTTAAAGGCTTTTCAAGCTACACACACGTTCTTTGGAGTTTTCTGTTGTCTACAATCCTTTGAAAATGTAAAACCACCCAGCCAGAGTAGCTCAGTCATTGAGTGTCGATCTATGAACCAGGAGGTCACAGTTGGATTCCCAGTCAGGATACATGCCCCGGATTGCATGCTCGATTCCCAGTGTAGGGCATGCAGCCAATCAATGATTCTCTCTTATCATTGATATTTCTCTCTTTCCCCCTTCCCCTCTCTCTCTCTCACACACACACACACTCTCTTCCTCTCTGAAATTAATAAAAATTTACACTTTTAAATATATGTAAAACCATTTAAGTCCTTGGCCTGTAAGTATAAAGGGTCTTCAGAAACACCAATATTCACAGAGAGAGACAGGCAAACCCTCCTTCAAAAATTTGCCTGGAGACTATTTGACAAAGCTTCTGAATCTATCCTAATGGTTTCCATAACCAGGTACACGTGGCTTAAGGCTCTCTTCTGAGAACAATGAAACCATTTAAACTTAAGTGTCCTGGCCTATTATTCCCATAAGTAAGGTCCTGAATACCAGTGACTTACATTCTAGAGTAACCTGCTTTATTAAAAGATATTATCAGATAGCTCTTAAGGAGACAATCTCAACTACTTTAATAGTCCTTTTAATTAAAAAGAGAATGATCAAAAGACTGATATTAACTCCATTCTATCAGAAGCCAACTAATTCCTGTACTTCTTTGATCTTCTAGAAACCAGTAATTGTTCATCAGATTTCTATAATATAAATGCCAAAAAAGGAATTCTGGTCTAATAGGCTCTTTGTTGTAGTAAGTCTTACTCAATATTTTCCCAAGTGAAATCATCACTAAAATTCCACTTGAGAATTAGCCAGACGATTCTAGGTCATGACATGACAGGCCTAGCCAGTTATCAGTCAAGGTAAGTTTTTTGTTTTTTGTTTTTTTAAGGGTCTAGTTTGTAGTTGGCTGTGGACTAGGTATTGGGGGGTGAAGTTTAGGTATTGGGGGTGAAGGTTTAGAGGTGATGGGGAGGACCCAGTGGTAACACGTTACACAGGACTTGTGTTGGTGTCAGAGAGACAGAATAAAGGTGTGAAGGTTAATTAATCAATTTTGGGAGTATATTTAAATTGTGCTTTCAAATAAATAAAATGCAGTACAAGGAGACCTGTAGTGTGTGTGTGTGTGTGTGTGTGTGTGTGTGTGTGTGTAGGAATTAAGCCTTTAGCTTTTAGGTGACTGGCCAGAAAAGGCCTCTCTATGTGGCCTTTAAAACTTAAAGGTCACATTATCTTGGACCTTTCTCGATTGTGGTTTGTATACTAGTACAAGAGATCATTGTAGTTGGTATGTAGAGCAACACTTTTTAAATCAAATTTAGCATTTATTGTAATATGTACTGTATTAATTATAACCATAGCATATAAAAGTTATCTTCTCAAGGTCACAATTGCTTAGGAGGATGCAAAAGTAGGAGCACTGTGGGACCCAGAATGCAGGAATAGAGGCCTGGTGCTCAGGCATGCTATCTGCTACCCCAGGATGAGGGTGGATCAGAGTGGCCCCAGGGACTTTCTGAGGTCACCCGCTAGATGGTGGTGACTAGTCAGGGCATTCTTGTCTCCTGGCTCCTCTGCTCAGGGCAGTGGTCCTCAACCAGGGAGATTTTGCTCTGTAGGGGAAATCTGGCAAAGTCTAGAGATGTTCCGATTGCCGCGACTGAAAGATTCTACTGGCATTTAGTAGCTAGATACTGTCAAACATGTCATTAAACAGAAGTGTTGCCGAAACTGATTTGGCTGGGTGGATAAAGCGTCGGCCTGTGGACTGAAGGGTCCCGGGTTCGATTCCGGTCAAGGGCATGTACCTTGGTTGCAGGCACGTCCCCAGAGGGGGATGTGCAGGAGGCAACTGATCGATGTTTCTCTCTCATCGATGTTTCTAACTCTCTATCCCTCTCCCTTCCTCTCTGTAAAAAAATCAATAAAATATATATTTTAAATAAATATAAAATAAAATAAAGTAAAAAACAGAAGCGTTATGAAACATCCTACAAAGCACAGGACAGCCTCACAAAAAGAAGTATCCAGCCCAACATGCCAACAGTGCCAAGGTCAAGAAACCCCGGTGCAGTGAAGTGATAGCGCTAATGATCATAAAGTCTTTTTTCTTCTAATTTCCTAGCTGGTAACACCATTAGTACATCTGTGATGTTTACCTGGCAGTACCCTATGTTAGGGTTTCGGAAAGCATAAGCCGTTAAGACTCTCCTCAGAGCCGCAATGCCCATCTCATTCTGGAAGGCTGGGTGCTCTGGGAGGGAGCGGTGCAAGTCTCTCTCGATCTCCTCCGTGGCGAGATTGTACTTCCCCATGGACTTCTCCACGAGGTCTTCATAGTACCCAGGGTGCGTGGCCTTCTCGTTGATGGCACCTGGGAAATACACCACGTCAAAAATGGAAGCCCTGCCTTACCTCACCCCCCGAACCTCCACTCCCCCAGCCATTCCAAGGGCACCTGGGAAACAGCAGTAAGTCCCCGAGGTGGTGTGGTGTGCTGCCATCATGACTAGCTCAGGACACGGAGAGGGGTCTTCTGTCTAAGCTCCACAGGAAGCTGGCTATGTTCAAGCCCCATCTCATGGAGGGAGGCCTAAAAACTGTGTTCTGAGCACCATCCACAGACCACCCTGCGGGGTCACTAACGAGCAGAGGAGGGAGGCAATCAGAGTAAGCCAGGCTGGGGGTTTGGCCCTTTTTTCGAACACAGCAGCTCTGCTTTTACTTGACGGGGGTTTTCCTGAAGATTGCACTTGACGCAAAAACATGTTTTTGCCTCTCAAAACAAGTTGAAAACTTTACTGAAATGGCAGCTCTGAGGGGCCTAAAAAGCCATACTGAAGAGTATGAAGCCCTGTGGAGAGGAGGTAGTAAACTATGTGGAGGAATTTTTTTAAATTGCTGCAGTGGTGAGGGCATTCCCAGCAGTGGGGAATGGCGGCTATGGATGGGAGCCCTCAGAGGCTGGGCAGGGGATGCAGAGGTGGGCTGAGAGACTTCCGTTTAAAATTTCTTGAAGACTGGAGTGAACTGATGATTCTCTGGGAAAAGGGGGGGTGAATATAAACTGTGCACCTATGGATGAGGACAATGGGGAGTGGGGAAAGGGCAGAGGGTGGGGTGGGAACCTGGTGGAGGGGAGCAATGGAGGGGGAAAAAAATGAGGAACATTTGTAATAATATGAACAATAAAGGTTTATTTAAAAAAATAAACATAAAAATTTTTGAAGACAGAAAAACCCTGTATATAAATATCTAAACCTAAACATAATTATATGTATTTATGTAAGTATAAACTATACTTTCCTATATGTTACATAAATATAATTTATACATAAGTATAAAATATATATGATATAAATATATGCAAACTATCTACACACATATACATTATATAATGTGTATATGTGAATACAGGCTATATATATATATATTTTTTTTTTTCATTTGTATTTTACTATTTAGAAATTAGAGCCCTGTGCTGACCCAGTCCTTGTCCCTGAAGGTCACCCAGAGCCCAGCCTTACCCTCACACTTGCCCTGGAAAAGCCTGTCAGACAGCTTCTTAACATTGGCTTTCGCTCTGTTCTCAAGGGTGATCTGCAAGGCTGACTTGCCATTTGGCCTGCACTTCCCTTCACAGCAGGGACACTGAGCCGGGTCCTTGTCAGGGTCCCTAAGGGTCATGGGAAGCAGGTGGGGCTCCCCTGCTAGGAGCTGGGCTCTCTCTCCCAATGGGCAAGCTGGCTTCCACATGAACCCCACCCCCGGCGGGCAGGCTGAAAAAGGGGGCTGTTTTATACCCTCTGCTTCCTGGAGCTCATCCCATTAGAGAAAACACTGTGCCTACATGTCTCTGCAACAGAGTGCTGCGTGCGCTGCTTCCTGGCGCTCCTCTCAAGTTTCATTTTCATCTGAGCCGTGCTATAAATAACTCCCAATCTGAATAAGGAAGACGGAAATGGAATTTTTTGATCACTCTGCCAGCAATCTGAAGCAGGTTGTCAGGGAGACAGGTCCGCCAAACCCCAGAAAGGTGGAAGGCTGGACTGTCAGGGTCGGCGTGGGCTGGGTTTGTGATTAGAGAGAAGTTGACTCAAATTTGAGTTTCTAAATGAGGAGCAATGGCAGGTCTACGTAAGGCGGAGAAAAAAAAAAAAAAAAAAAAAAAAGACCTGTAAATGAGGATAGGACAAGCAACTTTTACACAAAACAGGTATTTTCCCAGATCCTACCTGTCCTACTTCTGAGATGCTGATACTACATCTCATTATGGGCAATCACCATTTACATCTGCTTTTAAAAGCTATGTATGCGGTTGTTGTTTCTTAAAGACTTTTCTGTAAGTCTGGAAACTCTTTTAATTTTGTCATGTTTTAAATGAAAGGTCTTCATAATAGCACTAGAACAGGACCGCCCTGGTTTATTTCCAGTAAAAATATTCACACCCACCTGTTTAGAATGAGCACCTTTCAGGCCTCCACCCGAGCAGAGCACTGGTGACCCCCGAGGGAAGGCCCTGATGTTTGTGAGGGACCAGGCTGGGAGGGTGGAGCTGGGAGGACCTCTGGGCTCAGGGCTCCCAGGCTTGACCTGGCCAGGTTATATTTGGGCATGAGCATGGCTTGGATCAGGAAAAGTGAACACATTGGTCCTATGGGTGCATGACTTGTCCCCTGACCTTCCTGACACCTCCAGCTTGGAGAAGTGTGATCTGTGCAGACTCTGGTCTCTCCTCCGACACCAGGGAAAACCAGTGAATTCAGTCGGTGGCAAAATCAAGGACAAGGCTTCCTTACTCCTCCCATCCCCTCCCTCTCCACACGAATGACTGCTCTGCCCACCCACTGTCACATTTCAACATAATCAATGACACAGCTGGAGAAGGAAAGGGACTCCCAAAGCCACAGAGAATGATACTCTAGTTCTTTTTTCCCCCCTAAAACAATATCAGTAAATAATAGATGAGATTACCAGGACTCAAAAGGGGTGGCTCTGACAGTTGGGTCGATGAATACGTGTCCTGTGTTTTTTATTAAGGGACTTCAATGCTCTGGCCAGGAAAGAGTTAGCTCTGCATTGGGGTTTGCATCTTTGAAAGAATTCTGGTGCATGACAGAGGGTGAGGTGGAGGCCCAGGTCCCGCCCAGCCCCCTTACCTGAGAGCAGCAGCCAGAGCTCGCCCCGCATGCTCTCTGGGATGCCCTTCAGCACCAGCTCCCGGGTTTTCTCTGTGCGGTACATGCAGATGCCTTGCCCATACTCGGCAAAGTGAATCTTCCAGGCTTGCTCTTTCAAAAACTCCTTGGCCTGAAAGGGATAATGACGCATGACGACATCCCAAAGGACTCTGGGGATGGTGAGAGGTCCCTTTTGCAAACAGAGCCAAGTTCTGGACAGAACTCATGAGAAGGGAGGACTCAGACATTCTGGCCTCCTTCCCTAATTGGGCCCATCTATCATGTCCTGTGGTCCCGTCACGATGCCTTCTGGCCCCGAGTCAGAATTCCTCTTCCCGGAGGCGGGTCAGCAGAATGCAGATGATAGTAATGGCTTTATGACCATGCCTCCAAGTGCAAGTAAGTTTTTTAAATGTGCACTAAGAACTTATATGATCGTTGACTTAAACAGCAGTGAAATGCTGCCTATACCCTCTAGGACTCATCGCCATCCATGAAAAACCACCCTGAAACATAATGACACATTTAGACAAGCTCTGCTTTACGTACAAAAAAATATCTATTTACATAGATATGAGTTCACTTTTACTTGAAAAACTAGAGGCCAGTGCACAAAATTCATGCATGGGTAGGGTCCATAGCAGCTGCTGGCTGGGGCCTCCCTTCGTTCCGTGCCACCCCCTGGTGGTCAGTGCACATCATAGTGAGCGATCCAACTCCCAGCTAGTACAACTCCGGAGGGAACACTTTGCATATTAGACTTTTATATATATAGATAGACTAGAGGCCTGATGCACAAAATTTGTGCAAGGGGCTCGGCCCCCACCGCTGCAGTGGCTGCCTCTTCCTCAGCCCTCACAGCCCTGGCTTCATACGGAAGGTCATCCGGTCTAATTAGCATATTACGCTTTTATTATTATAGATATTTTTAAATGGTAATTATCTATTATAGAAAGTTTTGGGGAAGAGCAGGAGGGACCCACCAATTTTGGATTGAATTCCTCAGGAGACCGCCGCCGATACATGGTCATCAGGGTCTGTGTGGCCGTGGGGACGCTGTTGCCATTTAGGTTGAACTGGCGCTCTCCCTCAGAGTCCGAGCTCGAGTTTTTCTGGGGGCTGGAGGAAACGAGGCTGCTGGGCCGAGAGTACACCTGCAGTCGCAGAGAGGAACGAGACACTTAAGGTTTGGGCAGCAACCCTTCAGCGTCCTCTACAGAGAACAAAAGCCATGCCAGGGTTCAAGAAGTTTCTTGCTTTGTGAAGAAACAGAAGAAAGGCAGCAAGTCAGCATTTTGGTGAGAATTCAACAGGTGCATGGGCTATCGGCTTTAGAACGGCAATCCTCAAAATAGGTTTTCCCTGTATTTCAGCTGTATTTTTGCAACAAACTGGCCATTTATCTCTGGAATTAGCATATGTGCAAAGCATGCTGTGATTGAATCATCTGCTTATGGAATGGCCTCCTTCCCTCTTCTGGTTTCTGGTGCCTCCAAAATTCCCACCAAAGCTTGGGACAGGTGACAGGGCCAAAGATGATACCTGTGAGCTCATCACCATTACAATATGTTTTAGCTGCCAGGAACTCGCATAGTTACTTGAGGGAGTGACACGGTTTTAGAGGCTGCAGGTTCCCTGGATATTGGTCCAGGTGTAATTCAAGAGGGACACAATATGCATCTAATCATAATAAAGTAAAATCACCATAATGATGCTGTATTTCAGGCTTGAGACTTCATTTAGTGGCCTCTATACCATCCCCAACAATGTCACTCTATGGACCAGAGTCACTTGGACCAGGATGAACGACTTCATCATTCTTCAACCGTAAAATGAGAGGATATCTATAAGGTTATCTATAAGGTTCTGCCAAGCATTATGGTCCCAAATACAAACGCCATGAGATTTAAGTGAGATATTGCTCTGGGCATCAGGATAGGTGGTGTGTCTTAGCACAGCTGTCAAGCTCAAAGGTCAATCAAAACAGGCAAGAAGGTGAACACCCCAAATACATAGGATAAACCAAAACACCCAAGGTGTCCTCCACGGACCTCATCGTCCGAACTGTTGTAGCTCCCTGCAAACTCCTTGTCCGAGTATATTCTGGAGGTCGTCTGCTGCAGGAAATCAGAGATCCTCTGCACCAGAAAGTCTCTGTCTTTCAGGTTGGCAAACAGGAAGGTCATCCTGTTCCTAGTGCTGATGGACAGAGGACTGGGGAGGACGCTGGAGCTGTCCGCCTTTTCTACAATTGTCACCTGAAAAGAAACAGGAGCCAGAGATCATTACTTCACAGGGAATCTCCAATAGCAGCTCCTGGTCACAGCACTCTGATGTCCTATGGGAACCATGCTTGTTTTATTGAGCCAAATTCAGATTCGCCGACTCTGTTCCAACCAAATCAAACAGCAAATCAAACTGGAGCTCACACCAGAAGTTAGAACCATCTTGCTGTTTTTTCTAAACCGTTTCTTCTAAGCTGAGAGCGATTTTATGCTCCAGGAGACACTGGGCTACCTCTGGGGGCATTTTAAAAAATATATATATTTTATTGATTTTCTACAGAGAGGAAGGGAGAGAGACAGAGAGAAACATCGATGAGAGAGAAACATCGATCAGCTGCCTTCTGCACACCCCCTACGGGGGATGTGCCTGCAACCAAGGTACATGCCCTTGACCAAAATCTAACCTGGGACCTTTCAATCCACAGGCTGACGCTCTATCCACTGAGCCAAACCAGTTTAGGCTCTGGGGGCATTTTTAGTTGTCACAGTGGAGGATGGGGCTGGCATCTGGTAGGTGGAGGCCATCTTTCTCTCGGATTAGCATACATGCAAAGCATACATGTTGCCAGATATGCTACAGACAGCCTGCCCCCCAACACGGTCCAGCCCAGAGCGATCACAGTGACAAGGCTGAGAAACTCTGTGAAGGAATTCTCTGATTTTCATTAAAATTTCATGGTGCCATCAAGGAGAGAACTCCTAGCTGCTGCATTATGCATATGAGACAGAAAGCAGCCCTGACGCTGGGTCCTTTCACCCAGCTCAATGTTGGGGTGGTTTTCAGAACACAGGCAATCCTTCAACCGTCTGCCTCGGACTCCAGGGCTTTGCAGGCTTCACTCAGTTCTGAGCAGACATGATGTAAGCAGCTTAACTGTAACCCCATCTGCAATAGGGGATGGTGTGGTGTGGGGGGGGTGTGGAGAGGAGTACAGAAGGGAGACATCTGTTTTAGCTCTGAGCTGAAGACATATATTTGGTGGTTTATAATAGGATTTTCATCAACTGGAAACTAGAATAAGCGCAATAGAAATTATTTTCTTTAGTACGTTAGGAAAAAACACACACAAAACCTCAAGGCAAGCCCTAAATATCGGCTTAATTGCAGTGATTCTGACTGATAATTATAGCTCCCCTCCTCCTCTTCATTCTACTTGCAAGCAGTTTAGACAGGTCCAACTTTAACCTCTTCATCAGCATTTTCATGTGAAATACAATTTCCTTCAAAGCAGAACTTGAAAAACTTTCCTCTTCCTTTCAAGGCTAAAAAACCTACTGGCGTTGCCTAAGTCACAGTGGTCGGCAAACTCATTAGTCAACAGAGCCAAATATCAACAGTACAATGATTGAAATTTCTTTTTAGAGCCAAATTTTTAAAATTTAAACTTCTTCTAACGCCACTTCTTCAAAATAGACTCGCCCAGGCCGTGGTATTTTGTGGAAGAGCCACACTCAAGGGGACAAAGAGCCGCATGTGGCTCTCGAGCTGCAGTTTGCCGACCACTGGCCTAAGAAGTTCACAGCTCACGTGCAAAGTGGCCATAACCAGACTGAGATCCATAAAGGGACAAACTACAGGATCTGACTTCTGCGCTCAGGTTTTATAAACGCACACAGTTAGAGATATATTTTTTAATGGAATCCTCTGTGATTCCCGAAGCTACACGTAAAAACGTCGTTTTTTCCTGAAAGCAAAAAAAAGAGGCTAGAGAAACAGGAAAAACCCTCCTTATCATGAACAGGATTCTCCCATGGCACTTAGGAAAAAAGTTAAACAATGCCTATTTTTAAAAGACCTGTAAAAGCTTACAACAAGTTTTTCTCACAACAAATTTATTTCTGGGCACCAGGTGTCAGAATTAAGTGACAGACGCCAAGGGAATGAAAGGTTTAAGCTCTGTTCCTAAAACCCAGAGAGACATGAGGAACTTGATCAAGTGGAAAGTCCTTTATCTGGAAGGATCCTGAATACAGAAACCACCAGCAACCCCCACCTAAACACCTATGAATGCTCGCTCAACGTGGGTTACAAAATATTGTCATCAAATGAATTCTAGTAGGTTTGTACCCCGTGAGCTTGGTGCCTCCAGGAAAAGGTACTGGCTACCTTCGAGTATTCTACAATTTAATGAAACACATTTGCATTACCTTGGGTTATAAAGTAGACTGGAACTTCATTAAACTCAGTGTTTAATATGGAACATTCACAAGGAAATGTATGACTAAAAAGGGGAGGGTGGGTTTCATCTGGAATCTCTATCTAAATGAGGTATCTGATCAGCTCCCTTTATCCTCTGGCTTTGCTGTCTTAGAAGTTTCTTCAAAATCTACAGCAACGTGCCCTGACCAGTTTTGCTCGGTGGTTACAGCATCAGCCTATGGATTGAAGTGTCATGGGTTCAATTCTGGTCAAGGGCACGTACCTTTGCTACAGGCTCCATCCTTGGCTCCATGCATGCAGGAGGCAACCAATCAATGTGTCTCTCTCACTCTAATGTTTCTCTCTCTCTGTCTCTCCCTCCCTTCCATTCTGAAATTCAATGGAAGAAATATCCTTGGGTGAGGATTAACAACAAAAAATTTACAGCAACCTGATTCTGTGTAATCACTGACCATCTATTGACCGGGTGTACCTTACGTCTAGACGTGAAATATATGTTAATAATCTCCAGCCAATTCCTAGTCTAGCTAATGCTAATAATGTCCATTCCAAACAGGATTGAACTTCCCATGGAGGCCCTAGCTAATCCGTCAGTTTAACTCAGTTCCTAAAAGTACTCAGTCCACAGAGACCACTATCTACTCAGACAGATTCCGGAAAGAGGATGGGGAAGGGGGGGCCACCCCTCAGCTTTGTCATCATAGTTACCAAAAGGTAATAAAAACTACATTAAGTCCTTTGCTTCTTCCATTAGTGAGGGCTAGGGATCCACTGTTAATATCTCTCTGAGTGAACTATCTTCACTTCTAGGAAAGGGCTAGGGGAGGTTGCAAGATTCCAGGTTAGAAACTGCAGGTCTGCCAGCCCGTAACGCCCTAACCTGGAGCTCCTTCTCAAGCCCAGACCTCACGCCAGGCTGCCACAGGAGCACCCTGTGCAGACACGACAGAACCTGCCTCCACCCACATGCAATACGACTGCTGCTTTGTCTTGACTGTACATGAGAGCCAGCCTGGGACTTGATTATAACGCAGATTCTAGAATTTTCAGAGATTTAGACTGGCAGATCTGGGCTGGCCTCAGCCCTGGTGCTTCCAGTGCAGGGAATCGGAGGGCCAGAACTGAACACCTGGCTTTTGGATTCACAAGCAAGGCCTGTCCTTCAGACGAAGCTGCCCTCGGGCTGTGAGCCAGGTGGAACAATGACATGTTCCAGTTTCTGTATTTGATGCTTTGACGTCTTGGGGCCTTGCAAACCTTGGTAGGACCACCTTTCCAGAGTTAGACGACTCCCAGAGACTCCCCTGGAACAGGCCTTTCCTCTGCAAGCCACCCCACCAGAGCCCACAGCCCAACCCCCTCCTCTACCCAGCTCGCACTCAGGCTCACGGTTCACCTGCCCTCATTGCCTCGGGAACAGCGCCTACACCCCCGAATCCACAGACATTATTCACACCAGCCTGCTTACCCCTGCCTCTTCTGTTCCTTCCCTTGGAGACCACAACAAAGACTCTTCCACGCCGTTTCCCATGTTCCCTTTGCCTGCCTGGTACTTAGCCAAGTGGCCCCTGTGGTCCCTCTCAGTGGGATCTGTGAGTCTAACTACCTGTCTTTCTTTCTTATTTTTATTGCTCTTTTGTTTATTTATTTATTCATTTTTCTTGACTATATTGGGCTAACCCTGGTTAATAAAATCATATAGGTTTCAGGTATACATTTATATAATACATCATCTGCACATTGTAGTGTGTGTTCACCACTCCAAATATACAATCTATCATTCAATGGCAGTCATATCTCCTGGTCCGTGGGCCTCACCAAACCTGGGTAAGAATGAGATTTCCAGACGAAACCAGTTAGGCCCAGTGGATGGAGTGAGGTCCCACCACCACTCACATCAATGGCAACACATGAAAGGGTGGCAGGTTCCACTACAGAATGACGAACATTCACTTACGGTTAAAAGCCAGCCAACTTCTGGCAAATATTTTCTGGCTCACACAGAAAAGTATCACAAATGAAACTTAAAAATCCGTTTCACCTGAGGCTTACCTCCCGCAGCGGGATAATGAGGCTACACAAGTTTTCCTCCTTGCTGGTAAAGCAGATGTAATTTGTGGACACAAACATTTGCCCCAAAATGTGCATTTTGTTAAATGGGGTCCAGAGGGTGCAGTCTGTGTGGCCATCTAACTTCTCATCTTTGGGCAGCCGGAAAAGCGCACGGTACCTCTCACTCTTGGCCCTGGCGTCAAGATCGCTGGAAAGCAATAATAATAACTCACATCACGCAACAGGAATGTCTCAATACCTTCTAAATGATGCAGCCACGGAGGGTCCCCAGCCCACCTTTCCCCTCCCCAGTCTTGCTGGATTTATCCCTACCTTTTTGGCTTACTATTGGCGCTCATGCCAGCCTATGACCCAAAAGCATAATAAAATTATCTTAATACAGTTAGATCCTTTCTGTAGTCATTTTATAATCAATATCTGAAAATGTTCAAGAGTATTAGGAAACTAGGCCTGCATAGGAAATGCATTCTTTTGCTAACTGAAAACAATAATTTCTAAAGAGATTGTAACATTGACATGTATCCAGCGCCACTTGGGGGGAGGGTATCTTTTAAGAAAGACCTAGTAAGGATGCCAACGAGCCTAGTGAGTCTGCTGATCTCACTGCCACCCTCTGTAGACAACAAAACGGCCTGAAATACAGGAATAACCCACCTCATGGACAACTCGTTTCCACAGCCTCAGCTGGGTCCTCTGACTACAATCTTTCTCCACACACCCCTTCCCCCACCCAGACTTTCTTCCATATAGGTTGTTAAAACCTTTCCCCTCAAGCTCTACCTGACCTTAGCCTCTTGAAGCTAGGTAGGAGTTCCCTCCCTCCATCTCCAAAATTACCTCCATCCCCACTAGTCTTCCTTCCTTTCCCTGTTTCAAAAGGAGTGGTCTCGGTACACATATTAAAGTTACTGTTTTCTTTTACTTTTATCTCTTTTCCTTCTGTCCCTGCACCTTCCCTTCTACACCCCTACCTGCACTTACCTTCATCCACTCTTCCCTTCTTAACCTGTATTCAAATCTTCTACATTCTAAAGAGAGCAATGCCCCTCCTTTACCAAAGAATTTTTTTTAAAAGCCATCTATCCTTGCCTAATTCCCTTTCATTTGCTATTTAAACCACTGCAGTAACCCCATTCATCCTCCACCACTCTGTTGAAACATGACTCAAATCACCCAAGACACTCGTGGTGGTGACATCTGTCAGGTTCCAACGACCAGCTGTAAGCCAGTGATTTCAAATTCCATGTGTTACTAGTCCAAACCCCTGGATGCCCTGCAGGCAATTTGCTGGACAGGATCAGAACTGAGCTCTGACATCCCTGGACATGCTCATCCTTCTCTCATTCCCTACCTCAGTGTAGGGCAGTTCCATGTGTACAGTCACACTATAGAGCGTCAACATTTCCCTCACTGTCTCTCTAGCTCTGCTCCCACATCCAGGCCTCCAGGCTTCTCACAGCCTCTCCTCCCTGATGCCCTGCTGCCTTCCAGACATGGGATGGACTTCCTTCTCCTTTTCCCTCTGGTGAGAATCTGCAGGGGTAGCTTCCACTACCACTGAGACCCCTCCTCCGCCCCCTACCTCCTCACAGTCTCCACTGAGAGGCCTTTCCTACCCTCTGCCCATCTTCCCACGTGTGTGCCCACGAGGCCAGAAGAGCTCCCGCCAGGTTGTGCGGGAGCCGGCCACCTCCTCCTCACTTGCTGGGCTGGGAGTGGCGCAGGCAGCCTTTTCCACTTTGGTATCTCTAACCAAAAAGCATCCAACGACCCTTGAGTTGTTCAGAAAATGTTACATTCTTGTTTCCAAAGTCTGTAAGACTCCGTCTCTGGCACCTACCGTTTTAGAGCAGACACTTTTTTAGGAGATTTCTTTTTCAGCTTGGGCAGGGATTGATCCTGTTCGAATCCCTCGTTGTCCAAGAGCTGCCTCATGGCGATGTTGGCGAGCTGCACCATTAGCTTGAAGGTCTCGTTGATGTTGAGAAACACGGAGAAGAAGTGCTCGCTGGACCGTGTGCTCACTTTGATCACGTCGGGCAGGAACAGCGTGGCGCGCTTCTCCAGCTGAGTGATGTCCACCCACCGGATCACCAGCTTGGCTGAGCACAGGGGGCAAGGCTCCGTCAGCTCCCGGCTCCTTAAAACCCCCGAGATACCGCAACTGCACACCCCGACTCCCAGGTGCCCTGAACTCCTTAGCATCTGCGTCCACATCTATTATTGTTTGGTTTGCTAGTTATAAGAGACAAATGCAAACCACATATATTCCGAGTTCATACTTATTGCCAATTTAAGTCCATGTCTACAAATTAATTATGCCTTTGGTGAATCTTTATTACTTAATAGACACATTTTTTTAAAAAACAAATATTGAACTGAAAATGATTCACTTGTTAAATAGTTACAAGGCAATGCTGACCCAGTCATAACTATAGATTTATTTTTGGTATTTATTTTGGTATGTGGTTTATGAGTTCAGGGCAAACCTCAGTAGAATTTCCTAAGCTTCCCTCTGAAATCCTAGACAACTTACCTTCTCTTCCCATAAGAAAAGAATAAAAGCAAAGGTGGTTAATACTGAGGTACATCCAACCCTGACGGGGGACCTTCCCCTTCCAGTAGCTGCAGGAGTAGTAGTTGACAAGTTTCTCTTCCTCGGGCATCCCAAACAGCCTGTGGAATTTCACAATGGCCTCTTTAAACTTCTCGGTGTCATCGTCTTCCTTCACATCATTGATTTTGTTATACTCTGCAATGATGCCCTACGTAGGGATGAAACAAAAGCACACAGCGGTATTACCATGAATAAAGCTACTGTTTTCTGTACGCAGTACATACTGGGAAGGAAAAAAAACAACAATTTCCAAGACTACATTTTTTTAAACTGATACATTTTCTTCAAAGGCAACCCCAGAATTCTAAGCCAATTAACAAGTAGTATTTGTGTATGAAAATATTTTCAAAATAACAATATAGATTGTATTATCTGTTTATTTTTGCTAATCACCTTTTTCTTAATTTCTTTTAGGTGTATTTATTTTTGGTGCTAATCGTTTTGTTAATAAGTTTACTTAGAATAAAACCCATAATTTTACCTTATAAAAGAGGAAATGTAAAGACTTTCAAAATTCTACTGATTTTCCTAGCTTATCGTGATAGTTATGCCAAAGGTCAATTTCTGCCTTTCTCAAAAATTAACAAAAATTCATCATGACTGGACAAGGAAGGAAAGATAGACCAGAAGGCATGTCACTAACTGACATTTGGCCACAAACCCACTGTCTCAGGGCCATGAATAGTATTAGGGAACTTAGAGAAAAGGAACAAGCATCCATTTAAGTAGAAAAGGGGTGAATATAAGAGCAAAAATTAGGTCAGCTGGACAGAAAATGAAATATTTGCTAAGAAACTGACTAGCTAACTCTACTGTCTAATCATTTGAGTAGCTTGAGAGGCCATTTTATTGTTATTCAATTCTTCCATAATTCCCTATAAACTGGCTTCTACACATATCTGTCCATAAAAAAAATAAAATAAAATAAAAAATAATGCTCCCTCGAATTCCACTTTGAAACATCAAATCCCTCTAACCTCATCTTCAACAGAAAATTGCAACTGACTCATACATGGAATTCCGGCCTTTGGGCTCTTACGCTTCCAGTACAGCCTGGATGCTTCCAGTACAGCCTGGATGCTCCCTACAGATTTATCTTCCCAATACTTATTTTGACCACAGAATTCTCAGTATAAAAATCCTGAGTGGTTACCAACTGCTACCAGTCTGAAATCCAAAATTCTAGACCATTCACATTTTCAATCCACTATTGAGCTCTTACCTAAAGTGAGAATAGGAGAATAAGGAAGCGAGTGAGGTAAAACAAACCAAATGATACCCATATGTTTTGAGTGGAAAACATTAAGTTCAGACCCTGCTATCCAAAGACCTATTAAATACCACATTTAGAATACACATTTAAAGTTTAAAAAAGAAAATGTTTTCAAATGAGAAGATTTATGAGGCTATAGCACTGAGAAACATCCCTCTGAAACGTTCTGGGGTCTAATACACTCATACAAACAGATGATGCCTTGCCAACTAGTTTCAACTAGTGAGGACAATAGTCCCCATGAAGCTACATTCCCAAATTTCCCACCTTTAGGAACAGAGAGGATCTAGAATGCAGAACCTCTTCTTGGTTTGCTGTAGTTTTTCAGCCAGGTTGACCAGACGATGGATGGAACAAAAGAATAGAATATTTCCTTCCTGTATGTTCTACAATTTTACATAATATGAAATAGGTCACCTGGGTCTAGGCAACAGCTCCCTATAACTTTGGAAAATTACCACAATCCAAATGAACAAGGGACATTGATGGGTAATTCACACAAAAAAGAAAATGAAATAAATAAACAGTGATTAAATCCTCACTTTGAGGGGTAGGGGTGGGAGCAAGGAAGAGGTTGATATTATTATATACGAGAGGCCCAGTGCATGAAAATTCATGCATTGGAGTGGGGGGTCCTTCAGCCTGTCCTGCCTCCTCTCACAGTCCAGGAACCCTCAGGGGCGGGAGGCGGCCAGGCATCAGGTGAAGGCAATGACCTATCCCACCTCTACTGCTGCCACTGTCAGAAGTACAAGCCTCAGCCAGCCCTGGTTACCTGAACCTCAGGCAGCCCTGGACAGCTGGGCAGCCACCATCCGAGGCTTGCCTGCACTTTAGGCCGGCCCTGGGTGGCTGTGGGGTTGAGAGGACAAGGGCTGAGGGGACTGGGTTGGGTGCTGCCATCTTGTGGCAGTGAGTGCCGCCATCTTTGAGGGCATGACAGTCGATTAGCATATTCCTTTCTTATTGGCTGTGGGCGTCACCATCTTTGTGATGTATGAGGGTCAATTAGCATATCCCCTCTTTATTAGATATGATGTTTTTGTTCTCAGTCCTCACTAATTTTTTTGTGGTGCAGTTCAAATTTACTTCTCTCTTCAAAAACATTAGATTCTAAAGAACAAAGAGATTCCATTTGTATGTTTACCCTTCTTTTTCTAAGTATAAAATCACTATGTGTTCATGTAAAGAAGACATAAAAGGACTTTTAAAAATTAAAGAAAAATAAGGCCAAAAGTCCCATAGAGAAATAGGTCAAAAGACAGAAGAAGCAGACAGTCTACAAACAGTGATATAAAAATGGCTCTTAAGCATATGAAGATATTCAATTTCACTCATAAATGAGATAAGTACAAATTAAAACAACACTAAAATATTTTTCTCCCATCAGATTGGCAAACACAGAACAGCCTGAGAGTCCACCCTATTGGTGAAGATGCAGGGAAAACAGATGCTCCCATTGTTACCAGTGGGAATGAAAGATGGAGGGGGATTTAGCAACATTTGGCAAAAGACACATACCTTCACTATGTGACCTGGCAACCCCACTTCTACCGGTTTATCTAAGTTACAGCCACAACAATATGAAAATACATCTATGTACATAGGTGTGTAACATTGTTTATAATTGCAAACTATTAGAAAATGCTTAAATGCCCAAGCATAGGAGACTGGCAGGAGTGTCCATAGTGCATACACACAAAATATGCATCTTCAAAAAAACAGAACTAAATGAAGCATGGGATCCTGGATTGGGCTGCAAAATAAAAAAAGGACATGAATGGAAAAACTGTAAAATCCAAATAAAATCTGTCGTTTAGTTAACATCACGTTGATGTCAATTTCAGTATTGGTAAATGTATGTGGTTACAGAGGATGTTAACGCTCAGGGAAGCTGAGCCTAGGGGTTTATGGGAATTCTCTGCTCTATCTTTGCAGTTCTTCTGTGAGCTTAAAAATAATTTCAGCCTGGCCGATGTGGCTTAGTGGTTGAGTGTCAACCCATGAACCTGGACATAGTTTGATTCCTGGCAAGGACACATGCCTGGGTTTCGGGCACAATCCCTAGTACAGGGTGTGCAGGAGGCAGCTGATCAATGATTCTCTCTCATCTATCTCCTGCTCCCTCTCCTTTCCTCTCTCTAAAATCAATAAAAACATTAAAATATAAATAAAAATAATTTCAAAATACAAAAGAGAACTATTAAAATTAAAAACAACAACGTGGCAACTGCTATGTTACGCAGGAGTTAAGTGGAAAAAGGAAACGCAAAGGAACCTGTCCTTAGAGCCTCATGTGTGAGAATTAAAGAGAAAGAGGAAAAATACATATTCCTGCCCATTTTTACACCTTTTCTGTCTTACATAATTTCCAATTTAAAAGTTTAACAACAAAACAAAACATCCCCTACCTGTATTTTTCCTCTCACAAAAGTGGTGATGTCATTCTCATTTTCAAAGATGGACAGTGTCTGCAGCAGATTCTGCTCTAGCCATTCCCAGTGTTCAGTGATTTCCTTCCTAGAACCACCTGCACGAATGTAAAAATGGTAACAATAATAAATGTCAACATTTCAAAGATACCCAAAAAGTCAGGCTCGTGTCTTCAATATTTGATGCCACTGAAGGAGACTATTGTGCCAACAACTCTGTCTTGAAATGATCTCTCTCCTCCAAAGAAACACAGACGCAGGTGAAAACCCACGAGTAAGGACTGCAAGTCTTCACTTAATGCTGGCCATAGGTTCTGTGACTTTAAGTGAAATGACCTACAATGAAGCCAGTTTTATCACAGGCTAATTGATACAGACAATTGAGTTCCTACAAATTTCCATCAGTGCTATAACGACATTATTCAAGGAGTGGCTGTATTGTGTTCTGGTCAAGTCTGACGGGGTGAGCCCAGAAACTTTGAGGTCCCCTTCAGATCGAAAGGCAACAACACTCCCCACATTCACTTTTACGGATGGGGAGTTTAGCCCTTCGCTCTGCTGTTCTCCCTCCTAGAACCTGCACCTCACAGGGAAACGTTGATCTTGTTAGGAGACTAGGTTACAATAGTTAAGTCGTAGCAGGATGAGGACTTTGGTATGCCAGGGGCAATCTGATATAACCACCTCCTACAATGGGCAAAAAATGACCCTCACTCACTTCAATATTGAATGAGACTATCACTAGGGAATAGCAGCCTGGCTCTCATGAGCTCACGGGCACCATTGCCTTATAATGTAATGGGATGAGGTCATCCTCTCAGCTGCTGACCAAATCACTGCACTTGGGCCAGCAATAAGAAACATAAGTCAACTCGCCTGGCAACCCCCAGACTGAAACAACCCTAGCCGTATAGCATTTGCCACCAGCACTGCTCTCTGCTCACAGGTGCTGGCATCATCATAAGTAACGGGGCACGAAGATCTCATCTTGAAGTGTCAGGACACAAAGAAGTCCTAGCTGTTTAACCGTTGCCCGACTAACACACATTCAGCAGGACTCTCCCTGGTCCCGGCACCATTGTGTCGGATTGCAAGTGTGCATGTAACTGCAGAAGGCGTGCCTAGAACAACTCCTAGTGTAACTATTATAAGCTTCTTACATAACTCTGCTTATAATCTCTGATGGCTCATAACAACATGCTTATAATACTGTTATTGACTCAGCCTTACAGCCTTGGCAGGACCAGACCAAAGTGGCTTTACAGCCACGTTGAGAAAGGAAAGGCCCAGGTAACTCATCCAACCGTGACAGTAAGAATCAGTGGGCAGTGTCCTTATTTTACTTAAGTGCCAACGTCCTACCCTACCCCTAAGTAAAGAATGTAAATGGCTCTCTTTCTGCTCAGCAATCGGGACCAGAAACACTAAAAGCCTTATACGTTTGCATATGCTTTGACTTAGCATACCTTCTTCTATAAATGAATCCTAAGGTGATAATTAAGAAAATGGGAAAGATTTTATTCAGAGAATGTTCATTAAAGTTGTTCAAAATGCAGTTAACATTAATGGGAAAACTCCTACATTTCCAACAATAGCATATCATTTAGTTAAATCATGCTAATACACAATAAAATGTTATATACCTATTGACATTATAGAAATACATTATTGGCATGGAGAGTCTATACACATATATAGATCCAAGTATATCCATATATATGTTCAGGGTGGGGCAAAAGTAGACTTACAGTAGTTTATAAGGAAAATAATAAAATAATTGATAATACAATAATAAATTGTTTCATGTACTCACATCTGTAAAACTACTTCAGTCCTACCCTGTATGTATAGACACATTTTATATAATACTAGAGGCCTGGTGCACAAATTCATGCACCAGTGGGGTCCCTCAGCCTGGCCTGTGGGATAAGGCTGAAATTGGCTCTCCATCATCTCCTGAGGGGTACCGGATTGCAAGAGGACACAGGCCAGGTTGAGGGACCCCACCAGTGTAGATCAAGGCCAGAGAGGGAGATGGGAAGTTGGCCAGCTGGGGAGAGACCATGGGAGGGCTCCAGGGCATCTCCAGCCCATCTTGCTCAGTCCCAATCTGTAGGACCCCAGCAGCAACCTAACCTACTGGTTGAAGCGTCTGCTCCCTGGTGGTCAGTGCACATCATAGCGAGCAGTTGAATGGCCTTAGCATATCATTAGCATATTTTGCTTTGATTGGTTGTACAGATAACTTAGCATATTAGGCTTTTATTATATAGGATAAAGTCTGAAATGTGATTTGTGATGTGGTATTATTGTTTCTGAAATTTTTATTCTTTTTTGCTTATCTATATTTTCTAAAACTTTTTCTTAATCTGCTCTTTAAAGGATCCAAGACTAGTTCTTGAGTTCCACTAACCAAGAAAGGATTATCCAATGCTGACCGACATGGAATATGTCTCATGTGGAAAACAACTAAATTGCCTGACATTTTCTCCAGCTACTGTAGAGGAATAGAAGCAGAACCAATTAGCAATCTTTAATTAAACTCTGGGCCTGACCAGCTGCTGAGTAAAAAAGAATGTTTAATCCTAAAAACCAGCATGGTGCTGCTTAAAAAGCACTGGCTGGAAGTGGGGTAATCTGAGGACTCAATCTAAGCTCTGCATGACCTGGCTATGAGTAGCAATATGAAGTTGGGTGATTCACTTTGCTCTGTATCCTATTAAATTATGAGTGTTGAACAAGGTGGTGGCTAATGTCTTAGTTCTGAAATGAATGACCATCTAGGCCCGGAGGGATCCTGGGATGGTAAAGAAGAGGGAAACTAAATTAATGGGCAGCCAAGTCAAGGCACTGTTCAGGGCTGTGTTATCAGTGAGGTGTCCATCAAACAACCTCATCCCATTTCCTCATCAGGCCCATCAAAGGTCAGATGTATCCAGAGGGAATCGTCAATAGCTCCTTCTGTCCTTCGGTTTCTTCCCCACCTTTCCTAGAGCACCTCTTTAAACAATGTCCTTGGAATGACCTGCATTTCTACATGTCCACATTTTCACTGAGGCTGTATAACACATAACCTTCTAGTCTCTCTAATGGGGACAGCCAACTGGATTGCCTTTTACTTAGGTCCACTGATGGCCAATGAAGGCAAAGGACTGGGCTCTCTCCTGCCTCTGAGGCATCAATTCCAAAACACCAGCTACTGGGACAAGACCTACAGCTGCGAGGCTCCCTGGTGAACCTAGTACCCAGGTGCAAAATCAGCAGTCCACTGACTCTTGAGTGAGAGGCAGAGTGTATAACAGCTCAACAAAGTAGGTGAAAAAATCCCTATGGTACAGCTTCTTTTACATTCTTTATGGTGAAAAGTACCATTTACTGCACAAACCACTGAGCAATTCAGTAGGTGAGAGTTGACACTCATTGTCCTATCAACCAAAGACAATGTCGCTCCATTGGGGGTAGTAATGAAAAGAAAGTGTCATTACACAGGAAGAATTTGGGCTCCTCTTCCCAATTAAAGGTCTCCAATGCCAAGGAAATGTTAAAAAAAAAAAAAAAAAGTCATTTTCTTCAAACTGATCTAGATATAGACTGTTAGATGATAATAAAAAGAAGCACAGGAATGCCGAAGCCAGCTTGGCTCAGTGGATAGAGTGTCGGTCTGTGGACTGAAAGGTTGAAAGGTCCCAGGTTCGATTCCGGTCAAGGGCATGTACATTGGTTGCGGGCACATCCCGGGTAGGGGGTGTGCAGGAAGCAGCTGGTCGATGTTTCTCTCTCATTGATGTTTCTGGCTTTCTATCCCTCTCCTTTCCTCTCTGAAGTAAATCAATAAAATGTATTAAAAAAAAAAAAAAAGAAAAAAAAAAAGAAGCAGCACAGGAAAATAATGTCTCACCAAATAACTTGCGCATGTGCCCCTCACTGCCACCCCCTTTCTCTGTGGTTCACATTGCCAAGGGCCAAGTCCTTATTCCTTTGGCAGTAAGTTAGACAAGGTCCTCCTCCTGCCTGGACCCATGCGCTCAGGTCTAAGCAGAATCACATGACTAGGATTTACCACTAGACTACCGCTCTCGCACAGAAAGTGCTCTAGGTGAAGACGAGGATCCTAGATGCTCCTTTAACTCAACTGACACCTCTGGAAGGTTCACAAGAAGTGGCATAGAACAAGGTTTTGGAATCCTCCGTATTTTTCATCTACAGGGCAGTGAATTAGACCCACCCACTTCTTTGCTGAAGCTTCTGTTACAACCATGATTCATGAAATTCAAGAAAACAAAGCTCCCCCCGAGACTGTTGCACCACCATTAAAATTACAAACCGAAAGGTCAGCATATTAAAGAAATCTTTAAGGTACAGCTTCTGCTCTTAAAAATCTTCTCATGAAAGGGAGCCAGCAATTTGGACGGAAACAAAAATTGATAAGAAAGAACAACTAATGGGTGAATGGGACTTTCACAATGGTTGTCACTTCCGTGGGGTCTGCCCCAGGAAATTCTGGAGCTGTATCTATGGGCAATCAATAGACACAGAAGCCTAAACCTGTTCTATTCTGAGCTCATGCCGTTGTGACAGACAGTACTTACTGGGAAAAACCAAAGTACATCTCTCTCTGTGGCATACATTATGCCATCAGCATTTACTGCCTGGTAGTGCTCCTTAGCCTCGGTTGGCAAATCATTCAGGAGTAACTCGGCTGTGGAACTCTGGTTCTTCCCCTACCTGGGCATTCAGAGGGCTTCGTAGAACAGCAAAGTCAAAGAAACAGAGTGAGGAGTAGTCATGTCAGGTGTCGGAGGGAAAATGGTTAGGGCTGAGGGGATAGGAGAGGAGTCACAGTCCACGTCTATGGATCTAGGAAGGCCAGGAGCTGAGAGTACCCAGGAGAGATCAGGAGACCAGGCTCCAAAGGAACTCAAAGCCTCCAGGCACAAGTGGAAGGTGAGTGAGACTGTGTCAAAGTGTCCTTCTCACACCCTCTATGAGTTGAATGGTTTCGTGGCTCTGCCTGGTTTTTAATTTCCTTTATTTTTACTTCTTCATTCGCTGGCTACACTGTCTATGTTAACACTGTTCTAGATGGTTTGCCAAGTAAATGTGATACTTTCCCAACCAACTAGCACAGGGCACTTCCCCTTCTATAGTAGCTACAGAGGGTTTCACTTGGTACTGAATGAACCGCCTCTGCCTGGGCTACAGGGTCTCCCTGCTTTAGGGTCCCAGCTTCCCTCTGCCTGTATCCTTTATTGTCTCCCTCTCACTCCAATCTCCATCTCTCACTCCTAGATGGTTTTCTCTATGCCCTGAACCCTGATACCATCCCTTCATACACAAGAATGCAAAATGACTGACATTCCATTGTTCTCAGGGGGCTGTTTGCAGCTTAACCAGAGTGACTTTGAAGGGATATAAATGTAATTTCAGGTTCTGTGAAATCCTTGAGGGAGCCCTCCAGCAACCTGACACCACACCCAGATAACTCCTCCTACCTATGGACTTAGCTGGGAGCCCCACAATCAAATGGCACCGAATGGTACTTGTTCCCACTGGGCTGTAACTGAGTACTTACTCTTGTTCTCAAGAGCAGAGATTGGATCTAATTATCTTTATATCTTTACTAAAGGCCTGATGCATGAAATTCGTGCAAGAGTAGGTCTTTCTTCCCCTCCCTTCTCCCCGCCTTCCCTGGAAGCCCCAGCTTCATCTGGAAGGACATCCAGTCTAATTAGCATATTACATTTTTATTATTATAGCTATCGCTATCAAGCAGAGATCAATTTATTCATTTTTATTTTTATTTATTTATAATTAAATCTTTATTGTTGAAAGTATTACATATGTCCCCGCTTTTCCCCCACTGACCCCTTCTAGCCCATTCCCACCCCCACCCCAGGTCTTCACCACCCTATTGTCTGTGCCCATAAGCAGAGATCAATTTAAAAACTGAATAAAGTCAACTAAAAGAGCTCCCAATGTCCCAACAAAAATGTTTGGAGCAACAAAATAAAGTAGTATTAGAATCCCCCGAAGAATAGAATATCCATGATTCCCTATTGATAATGATAGTTGAATAAATTAATAAATACTCTTCACTCTTTAAGTGTGAGCTGTGCACAGTGACTTCCTTCCAAAGAGGGCAGAATGGAAGAAAGAACTAACCTGAAAAGGGGAAACCCAAAAAAACACTGCTTCAGTCATAAATGTGGCATGATGTGATGAAAATATCACTGTTTCTCTGTGATTGTCTTCACGAAAATCCGTCCCCCAGCATAAGCATAGAAAAACATCAAATTCCATTGAAATAACTCTACAATATACAGTATCCTTCAAAACTGGCGGGATTATGAAAAACAAGGAAAATCTAAAAAATATCCACAGCCAAGGGGAGCCTAAAGAGATATGACAACTAAATATAAAGTAGTATACTTGATGGGCTCCTAAACAAAAAAAAGATATTATATAAAAACGATGGAAATCAAAATGAAATATGGGCTTTATTTGTCATAGTGTATCGATATCGGTTCATTAATTGAAACAAATGTTCCAATGTCAGATGTTAATAACAGGGGAAACTATGTATGTGGGAAGTATATGGGGGTTCTCCAAACTATTTGTTGGGCTTTCTTAAAATCTAAAACTGTTCTAAAAAAATAAAATCCAAAAAATAAAAAATAAAAAAATAAAATCAATAATTTTTTAAAATAAAGTGAAGACCAAAAAAGAAAAGAAAGGGAGTGTTCGGTGCCTTTCTTTTCCTATGGCTATGTGAAAACTCACATGCAAACAAATAACTAAAACAAGCTTGGCCACTTTGAATTGGATGTTCTTGTGAGAAATCCAATAATAGCATAATTTTTTATCGACATTTTAGGCACAGCACATTATTGCAAATTATTATCAGGAGAAATGAAGAATCCCTACTCAGTAGGAAGTCCTGTGCTAAGATATATAAGCACTAGAGTCCTGGTGTGCAGCATTCGTGCACTGGAAGGGGAGGGAGGGGTTCCCCCTCCTGGCTTACATCATCTCACAATCCGGGAGTCCTCTCCCCTTACCACTCGGTTTGCTGCTCCTTAGTGCTGCCACAGAGGAAGGAGAGGCTCCCGCGACCGCTGGTGAGACCAGCTTCTGGCTGAGCAGCACTCCCCTGTGGGAGTGCACTGACCACCAGGGGCAGCTCCTGTGTTGACTGACTGTCTCCCCACCTTCCTCTCCCCACCCGCCACCACCACCACACACACACATATTCTTTCATTTCCCGGCTTCTCCTGAAATTAGACTGAGGCCATGTGACTGGTTGTAGCTAACGGAGTGACAAAGCAATGACACTTCTGGACCAAGGAAGTTAAACGCAGGTGTGTCTCCACCTCCTACCTGCCCCTTATAGGTTGACCTTGGAGGCTTTGTGCCCCAGAGAGTGTCACTACAGGTGGTGGAAGCCACAGGCTCCAAACAAGACTTCACCAGAGTCAGAAGGAAACCTTTCTGGTGTTAAGCCATTGAGATTTGGGGGCTCATCTGCTGAAATGGCTATGGTTACCTACCCTAAAACACCAAGTGATTGCATTCCACAGATTAAAGTTCCTTCCCTCCTGACAGAACACTGCTAATGATAATGTTTCTCTGTATTTCCAAATACTGCTACTTACCACAGGCAATGGTCCAATAGACCAAGGAGTCTGGGGTCTGGTACAGGATTCGGTAGGGAGCCACCCGGGCACTGGAGTCCAACACGACATCAAGGGTACCCACCAGGAGGCCTAAGGACAGGAAAGAGGGAGACATGTATAAAGGTGTCTTTGGTGCGTTCCAACTCCAGGGGCATTGTGGGAATGTTAATTTGACTATTAACGCAGGTTGCATGATTACTAAGGATGTCATTGGGATGGAACTGATGGTGCTTGAGGTTAACAGGGTGAGGCTGAAGGCTCTGCCTCCCTTGGTTGGCCACTGTGGAAAATAAACAGCACAGTGGAGAGCACCAAGCTCAGGCCCTGCCCCCTGAAAGGCTTTTCATAAAGTTCTGCTGAATCTGAACCACATGTTTTTCTGAAATTATCACCACCAGTGTCCCCTTGAGGATTGGTTCTGACCATAGAATTAACACCCTGACAATAATACCACTGCAAATCACTTCCTTCTTCCTGACAGTCTGGGGTCATGGAAAGAGCCTTGGATGAGTCAGTGTTCAGAAAAACTCAGTTCCGGCTCTGACTCCATTACAACCAGCTCTGTGGTGTAGATGGGCCGTTTAGCTTCTCGCTGCTTTGACTGCCTCAGTTGTAAAGTGACCGCAATAGCACTTGCCTTCCTGAGCCAGGGTTATTAATCAAGAAGCCTAATGAAGGTTAACATGGGGAAGTCCTACAGTTGTCCTTGGTCTTTGTCTAAGGACAGGAATTCATTTAGATTTACTCCAAACCACAGTGACCAGTAGCTGGCCTGAACATACCAGGGAAAGCAAACTTTGCCTGAAGTGGAAGCTAATTCGTTGGTTTGCTCTGGATTGTATGAAGTACATTAAAAATACAATCCTTAGTGCCTGCAGAAGTTTCCAAGTTTTCCACATAATGCCACACGTATGTGCATGTCTGTTTCTCTACGATGACTCATGTTTGCTGCAAGACCTTTAATTATTTTTCAATTATCTGCAGGTGGAAAAGTATATTAATAGGAAAAGCAGATGAGTGCCAGCTAAACCCAACTCCCTACTATGTCAAAATTGAAATAGCACTAACCGGTTTGGCTCAGTGAGTAATGCATCAGCCTTCAGACTGAAGGGTCTTTGGGTTTGATTCTGGCCAAGGGCACATGTACGGGTTATGGGCTCGATCCCCAGTGTGGGGCATGCAGGAGGCACCCAATCAATGATTCTCTCTCATCATTGATGTTTCTATCTCCTTTTCCCTCTCCCTTCCTCTCTAAAATCAATAAAAAATATATTAAGAAAAAGAAATAGCCAAAACCGGTTTGGTTCAGTGAATAGAGCGTCAGTCTGCTGACTGAAAGGTCCCAGGATCGATTCCAGTCAAGGGCATGTACACTGGTTGCCGGCACATCCCCAGTAGGGGGTGTACAGGAGGCAGCTGGTCAATGTTTCTCTCTCATTGATGTATCTAGCTCTCTATCCCTCTCCCTTCCTCTCTGTAAAAAATCAATAAAATATATTTTTTAAAAATAGAAGTGCATCACCTATGATAACTGAATGTTTGTAATCCTTCCCTCTTCCTCAGTCAAAAGAAGAAATAAAATGACCCCAATACTGGAAGTGTCACACATATCAGTTCTAAGAAGCACAGACTTCAGTCTGGCATCAGACAGTTGCAGTCGAGGATCAGCTTACATGAGTCAATGAGCCTCTGACAGAGTGTCCTGGAAGATAAAAATGAACTAAGGGCAAGTGTAGCTCTATGGGCGGAGCACAGACAGAGGTAGAATGAATTCTGAAATTCTCCACTCCTGACTTTGCCACTTCTATCTTTCAGCCCCAGCTTCCCCAAGCCTCAGTTTCTCCAGCCTTCATGTCTCACCAGGCCTCTGTACTGCCAAGGAAGAAAGACCTCTGCAAAAGCCCCAACAACCCACACATCTTTGATCACGATAAATGTCCCCAATTAAAATCCATCTCCAGAAGCTTCCGGCCAAGATGATGATGTAGATAAACAGGTACTCACATCCTCCCACAACTACAACAAACTGCAGAACAACCATCATTGAGAACCGCCTAAAATGTAGCTGAACAGAAGTTCTATAACTAAGGATATAATAAAGAAGCCACATCAAGACTGGTAGGAGGGGCAGAGATGCAGAACAGACTGGTCCCACACCCACATGTGGTGGATAAAAATCTGGAGAGATATATCAGCTAAGGAGGATCCCCCCTGGAAAGCAAGGGGTTGTAGCCCCACATCAGGCCCACCATCCCAGAGTTCCATGCCAGGAAGAGAACTCCCCATACCTTCTAGCTGTAAAAACCAGCACGGATTGTGGTTGAGGGAGATGGAGAGCTGCTAGAATCCCAGGAATTCCTCTTAAAGGGCCTGTCGTGGACTTAATCAGACCCACTCACTCTGAACTCCAGCAGTGGAGCAGCAGGGACATGAGAAAGAACTGAGTGGTCTGGCATTAAAGTGAGGCCTAGAGGGGGCAACGTTTTCCCAGACAGAAGTGTTGGCAGAGGCCACTGTTCCTTTGCTGAGCCCTCCCCTCACACAGCTGGCAGGTCGCCGCCAATTCTGAGTCTCCATTAACCTGGCTAACTGCCATGGTGATTGCCTGAGACCCTGCCACACCCAACTTGCCAGCCCACCCAGGCTGTTTCCAGTGGCTTTTCCTCACAAACAGCCTGTCTTGGCTCACCCTTCAGACGTTTCTAAAATCTCTCAAACAAGCAGCATCTAGTCTAGGTGTATCCACCCCTTACCTTTCACTAAGAGACCTCAGGCCTGGCACTATAGGCAGCTGGCCTTCGTTCACAGATTGGCTTCTCCTGGGCACCTCTAAGCCCAGCACAAGTAGCAGCCATCTACAGATCCCTTTATAACTCATGCTAGGTAGTCCCAGGCAGAACACACATAACTGACTTTAGCCTGCACCGCCCAGGAGGCCCCAGAGCCAGAGCTCCCAGTGGACAGCTTCAGGCCATATCAAAGCACCACCCAACCTCCTCCACAAGTGACCCCCTCAAGGGGTGGACTCACAGGCACCAGAGCTCTGCTGAAGCAAGTCCTGCTCTGTGCAGTCAATCCCTGCACAGCAGATCCTCCATGGTGGAGGTCATGGCCAGTCCTCACATTGGCCTATTACACCTGCCATTGACTGCCAACAGCCATCAAGGCTCAACTACAATAGGAGGGTATACACTACCCACGGGGTAGGGGGAACAGCTCGTGTGACCAGGAAGGCTGTACCTTTGGGCTCTACAGGACACTTACTACATAAGGCCACTCTACCAAGCCTGGGAGATGTAGAAATTCTACCTAATACATAGAAACAAACACAGGGAGGCAGCCAAAATGAGGAGACAAAGAAACATGTCTCACATGAAAGAATGGAACAAAACTCCAGAAAAAGAACTAAACAAGGGAAACAAGCAATCTACCTGAGGCAGAGTCCAAAACACTGATTACAAGGATGCTCAATGAACTCAGGGGAAGAGTAGATGAACTTAGTGAGAACTTCAACAAAGAGATAGGAAACATAAATGGAAATAGAAAACATAAAAAAGAACCAGTCAGAAATAAAGACTATAATAACTGAAGTGAAGAATACATTACAGGGACCTGGCCAACGCAGCTCAGTGGTTGAATGTCAACCTATGAACCAGGAGGTCAGTGTTCAATTCCTGGTCAGAGCACATGCCCAGGTTGTGGGCTTGATCCCTAGTAGGGGGCGTGCAGGAGGTAGCTGATCAATGCTTCTCTCTCATCATTGATGTTTCTCTCTTCTCTTCTCTTCTCTTCTCTTCTCTTCTCTTCTCTTCTCTTCTCTTCTCTTCTCTTCTCTTCTTTCTCTCTCTCTTTCTCTCTCTCTCTCTCTCTTTCCCTCCCTCCTTCCTTCCCTCCCTCCCTCTCTGAAATCAATAAAAATATATATTTTTAATTTAACATTTAAAAAAAAAGAAGTTAGACAGCTAATTGCATTAGATGCACACACAAGTAGCACATTTTTGTGAAAATTATTTGAAAACTGGATAGCCAAACAAAAGTAATACTGCGAACTGAGGTAGCAGCTGGCCAATCAAATCAATAAACACACTCTTCCCCATTAACCCAGATGTTCCCTTTCACTTTGCCGCTGACCAGTGTGCATGCCCATCAGCTCTCACTTCCCAGGACCTCGGATGACAAACTCCTAATTATCTAATGCCCCCTCTTTCTAACTTGGTCTCCCTCCAAGTCCTGCTTCTGAAGCAGCCATTGCATTTCTTTAAAATCATTTACATATTTTGCCTTTTTCCATCTCTTCTTCTTTTTCCAGACTACGAGCTCCTTGATGGCAGAGTTGAATTAATTCTTCCAGAATACCAAGCCCTGCACTTGGCTTGGAGCACAATAAGTTCTGAACATATGTTTGATGAATGGAGAAGTTAGCTATTTATTTTTTTAATTATAGTTGAAAGTCAATACTTATTTCATTAGTTTAGATGGTTAGACATATAATTTACAAAGTCCCCGCGGTAAGTCCAGTACCCACCTGGGACTGTATGTCGTTATTACAATATTATTGATGCTATTCCCTATGCAGTACTTTAAATCCCCGAGAATATTCTGTAACTACCAATTTGAGAAGTTAGGTTTTTGTTTTGTTTTGTTTTAAATATATTTCAAAGAGGAGGAGGGAGATAGAAACATCAATGATGAGAGTGAACCATTGAACGGCTGCCTCTTGTCCCCTACTAAGGATCAAGCCCATAACCCGAGCATGTGCCCCTGACTGGAATCAAACCTGGGACCCTACAGTCTGCAGGCCAATGCTCTATCCACTGAGCCAAACTAGCTAGGGCAAAGTTAGGTATTTTTTGGAAAACCAAAATAGTAAGTTATTGCCATGCTAGCTACCCTTTATGCACATAAGAAGTCAAGACTTTGGGAAAGAGAAAATACTCCCCCAAGTCCTCTGTATGTACACACCAGACTATGAGTAATCTGGTTGAGAGAATCCTAAAAAAGCAGCAAACAGGATTTTCTTAGCAGTGTATTACTCAGACCTCTGAAACGGCTGTCAAAATACTGAACCATTTGTCATTTTCCACACAAAG